ATCTATGGGGTCCTTCATTCCCAATAGTGGGGATTTCTGTCTTCTTTTCTTATTCAGTATGGCTAAAGTTTTGTTAATTTTATCAGCTCTCGATTTCATTAATTTTCTCTTACTGATTTCTGCTCTCAATTCCATTGATATTTGGTTTTTATTATTTCTTTCCTTCTACTCTCCTTGGATTTAAGTTGCTCTTCTTGCTCTTGTTTCTTAAGGAGGAAGCTTAGATTATTGATTTGAAACCTTTCTTCTTTTTCCCATATAGCCACTTAATGCTACATAAATCTCCCTTTAAGCATTGTTTTAGCTGCATTCCACAAATTTGCTGTTGTTGTTGTTTTTCAATTCATTCATTTCAAAATGTTTTTACTTCCCTTAAGGCCTTGACCTGTGCGTCATTCAGAGGTATGTTCTTTAATTTCCAAACATTTGGCATTTTCTAGATAAACCTTCCTGTTACTGATTTCTAGTTTAATCCATTAGGTCAGAGAATATATTTGGTCTGATTTATATTTTTTAAAAATTGCTAAGGCTTGTATGATGGCCCAGAATAAGGACTATTTTGATAATGGTCCATCTGCCCTTGGAAAAAATAAGCATCACTTTGTCAGTTGAGGTGTTCCATAAAGGTCCATTACTCCAATCTTGTTGACAGCAGTGTTCAGGTCTTCTGCATCTTTACTGATCTTCTGTCCACTTGTTTTATCAATTACAGAGAGAGGTGAATTACAGTCTCTAATACCACTACAGATTTATTTTTCAAAGTCTTTATCAGTGTTTACAACTCATATATTTTGAAGCTCTGATGTTCAGTGCATAAACTTTTAGAACTATTACATGCTCTTAGATAATGAACCCCTCTGTTGTCATGCAATATCCCTGAAACCCTGATAATGTTGCTTGTCCTAAAGTCTACACTACCTAATATTAATACAGCTTTCCAGCTTTCTTTGGATTCCTGTTAGCATGCATATCTTTTCTAAGCTTTTGCTTTTACCCTATGTTTTTATTTGCAAAATGGGTTCTTGCAGATACTATGCAGCTGCCTCTTATTTTTTTTTCATCCAATTGACAATTTCAGTCTCCCAGCTGGTACACTGAGAACATTCACATTTAATGTGATTACTGAAACAGCGGAATTAAAATATGCCACTTTGCTAGCAGTTTTCCATTTATTTCATCTGGGTGTTTATTTTCTGCCTCATTTTGTATTGAATGTTTTAAATTCCACTTTATCTCCTCTGCTGACATTATTTATACTTCTTTAGAAATCAGTTCTAATGACTGTTCTAAAGTTCACAACATATACATTTAAGGAATCTTAATTCAACATTTCACTTCTGGTGTAAGGACTCCACAGCAGCACATTCCCAGTGCCTCTCCTGATCCTTTGCAATATTTTTACATATGTCACAAATGCAGAAAAGTAATTTCTACTTTAGTCAGTTACCTTCTAGGGCAACTAAAAATAAGTAAGAAATAAAATAACTTCATTAATTCCGTTCCCAGTGCTTTACATTCCCCCCTCCCCACTTTTGAGAAATTTTTATCTCCTTCATTTCTGAAAGATACTTTCCACTAGATAGAGAATTCTGAGCTAGCAGTTTTATTTTTCTTCTGAAGACATTTAGTGTTCTAGTATACATGGTGTCTAAAGAAATGTCTTCTGTAATTCTTATCTTTCTCTGTATGTAGTCTGCCTTTGTTGCTCTGGTTGGCTTCTAGATATCCTCTTTGCTTTTGTTTTCAACAGTTTGAATATATTTCCAAGTATGTGGTGGTTTTTTTCTTTTTTCAAGTATGTAGTATTTTTATTTTGTGATTGGTTTTTCTTTCTTATTTTTGTATTCACACTATTTGATGTTCTTCATATCTGTGGGAAATTCTTGACCATTATTTCAAGTATTTCTTTTGGGATTTCAATCACTTTTATGTTAGATCACTTGATTGTGTCTCCAAATTCTGAGAGGCTCTATTCTGTATGTTTCTTTCTGTGTTTCAGTTTGTATAATTTCTTTTTTTTTTTAATCTAACAATTCTTTTTTTTTTTTTTAAGATTTGTATTTATTTATTTGACAGACATAGATCACAAGTAGGAAGAGAGGCAGGCACAGAGAGAGGAGGAAGCAGGCTCCCTGCTGAGCAGAGAGCCCAATGCGGGGCTCAATCCCAGAACCCTGAGATCATGGCCTGAGCCAAAGGCAGAGACTTTAACTCACTGAGCCACCCAGGTGCCCCAAGTCTGTGTAATTTCTATGTAATCTATCTTCAAGTTTACCGATTCTTTTCTTGGTTGTATTGAGTCCCCATCAAAGGTATATGTGCATCTCTAATGTCTCCATTTGATCCTTTCCATCTCTATGCTACGATTACCTATGTGGTTTTGCATGTTGCTTACTGTCCATTAGAGCCTTTAATGTATTATTTGTAGTTATTTTAAATTCTCTGTCAGATCTTTTCCAACAGCTGTGTCATGTCTGACTCTTGTTCTGATGACTGCTTTGTCTTTTGGGAGTTTTTTCCTTTGCCCTTACATATGTTTCATAATTTGTTGAAAACTAACCATCTTGATAAGACAGCAGAGACTGCGCATCCTTTCCTTCTGCTGGGACTATGTTCAAGTTAACCTAATTTGTTGGCCAGGACTGAGATTTGTTGTTGCTATGGTTTCACTCCATATATCACAGCTTTCAAATTCCTCTAGTGACACTTTGTGCTTACACGGTGGCTAGTGTGCTACAGAGCTTTGGGTTTTTGCCAGTAGTTGCTCCACTTGCAGCCTTTGATCTTCCCTTTGCATTCACTGTGCCTCTCGTGAGTTACTGATTCCATCAGCCAATGCACCAGTATCCAAGACCTGATGTCACATCTCCCTAAATGCATGTGTCCCCCTTAGATTTTAGGCCTGTTGGCTGCCCTGGAGCCTCAGCACACGGACAGGTTCAAGAAAGCTCATGAACTTACTGCCATATGGCTTTTTTCCTTGTCCATTTGGAATGATGCGCTTTCCAGCTCTCCTTGACCACAAACCAAAGCATACTCACCCTGAATGAGTTCAGTTCATGGATCAGTGTTTTTCTCTCAGGCACGGACACTCTAGAAGTGGAATAGTCCATTTTCCCCAGGTTCCCCAACTGCTTCTGGCAGCTGGCATCAGGATCTGTAGCTGATGAAGGGGCTTTTTATCTTCATTACTCCTTGCCTTTCCATATTAACTTCTAAAATTTCCCTTCTCATTCTATTTCAAAACCAAACCTGCCCTCATAAGAAAAGTAAAAATATAAATTTAAAAACTTATGTTCTTGTTGGCTCTGACACCCTGTATATAGAACATGTATACAATGATTATTCAGTATTTTCCTCATGATTGGTGCTATTTCTAATATTTAAATTACAACATTTTATCTTTCAGTTATATACTTGTTTCTCTTGAGTAAGAAGTAATAAAAATTTTTTTTACTAGCTCTTTAAACTTGTAGGTCTTAAAATATTAATAAAATCAACATGCGCAAGTAACAATAGCTCCCCCCAAACAGTATCAAATGGCAGATTTTCCCTTTTCCCCAAAAGTCATATGCTATGTGTTAGAGTCAAATAACTAAGTAGGTATTACTCTCCTATATTATTCTCCTAAGTAGGTATTATTCTCTACAACAGCATCATAAATACACAGAATTAATTACAGCTTGAATTTTAGAAAATGGCGAATGGGAATATTGATGTCTGCTTAAAAACATGGCCTTCACACCATGGTACTGATAGCATTTCCAGACTAATGGTAGATGATAAGAAATGGAACAAAGCAGAAGGTGAGAAACAGTTTGTACTCTGACAAGAAATACAGAAGTCGGGACATAAAATCGTGGACCTCACATGAGGTCTTAGGCCCAAGCAGCAGTGAGCAGCACAAAGTGGACCAGACAATAAAACATTTAGAAATTTTAGCCTTCAAATACCCCTAAAGAAGTTCCAGTGCTAGGACATGGGTTAATAATAAACAGCAAAGAAGATACTCAAATTCTTTTGCAGAGAGGGAATTGGATAGTTTCAAGGGACCAAAAAAAAAGGTATTGTTTCTATCTCATGCCCTTATGTCCATGGCAAAAAAGACAAGCAGAATGTTAAACCCCCTATCAAGGAGACAAAAAACCCTCAAAGACTGGACATGGTCTATCCAGAGGGCTGCCTAGGAGCTCCTCATGATATCACCTGTAGCAACAGGTGGACGTTTTTGTTTTGTAAATCATGATAAGACTTAAAAAATATAGCTACTGTTTTAAAAAAAATTTTATTGACCTTAAGAGAATTTCTTAATACCCCTACTGTGTAAAATACCCCCATCTGACAATGATAGAGACCATTAATAACATTCGGGGGACAAACCTATAAAGGCTTCCAAAGACAAATGAAGGGAAAGACAGATAAACTAAAAAATTAATGTAATTTGATCTCTACATTATAGATCTTTCCTCTGCTATATAAGGCCAGCAGGCTGACTTTTCTAAAAAAGTCAATTATCATGAGTGATCCAATTCCTCTGGAATGCTCCTTACTTCATATGTGAGAAAAGTAAACATGCATCCAAAAAAAAGGAGTCCCTTTTAGTCCCAATTTAGATCATAAATATTCATTTGTTGTTAAGGACAGGAAGGATTACTAGAGCACACTGTAAAATTAATCCTTTCGGTTGACAGATGCCTCATGGTCAGGGCGGGGGGGCGGGGGGGCGGGGGGGCGGGGGGCTGGGGGTCTATGAATCTGTATTATCAAAAACATGAGTTCTTCAGTGGAAATACGCAGAAATCACGCTCTATGCCGTTTGGCTTTCAGAGCAGTATTTGCGGCTACCACTAGCATCATTACCACCATCACCCGGCAAGTCAATGTAAAGTCAATGTAAAGGGCCGCAGCACCGGGTGGTGGCTTTGTGCTCGCACAAGCCACGCCCACGCAGAAGCGCGCGGACCCGCGGGCAGAGGTTGGAGGCTGCCCTGCTGACTCACCGCCAAGCCGTCCGGGACGCGTCCCTGTCACCCGCGTATCTGGGGGCTTGGCCGTTGAGTCCACGTAGAACGGCTGTCCCAGAGTCGTAGTTTTGTTTCCACTGACGTACACCTGCTGCGAAGGCAACTTCGAGAAAAAGAATGACAGAATATGTTTCATACATTAAAAATCAAAAGAGAAACAATAAGCACAGTAAAAGATAGAACACGTGTCCCTTCCGGCTCTCCACCGCCATGACGCGAGGCGCGGTAACCGCGTTCACTCGCTTTCCTGCTGTGCCGCGACACTCTCCACACACCCGTTCCCAGCGCGGTAGCTGCGAGAAGGCCCGCGAGGACCCCGAGCAGCCCCTCCAGAAGGTGCTATTTTCTTTCTACGGGCAGTTTGCAAACCAAAAGGGATGAGGACGTCTGTTCCTCAAACACGGTCCCAGCGGGCCAGGAACAGACAGCAGGAAGTCCCCGCGCTAAGGGGCAGACGCGGTCCCATCTCCTTTCACAGCACATGGTAGGAGACGGGCAGGACGCCAGGTGCGCGCACGCACGCACACACGCACACGCACGCACGAAGTCGCTCACGTACCGGTTCCTGGCGCGCGGCCTCGACGCGGGGCCTGCTGGACTCACTGGACGCCGCGAGGCTGACGCAGGGCCCCCGGGAGTCGCTGCCGCCCAGGCTTCCGAAGCCGCTGGAGGCGCCTCCGTGAACCGGCTGAAGGAAGAAGGAGCCGCGCTCGAGTTCTGGCGACGCCGCCGCGGGGCTGAGAGCTGCAGCCGCCCCCTCAGAGCTTACACTGCGGCGGCCTCCCTGATACCCTGCGCCCGGGCGGAGACGGACGCCCCTAACTGGGCTGCTGACAGAGCAGATCCTCGCCTTCCGGCGCTTCTCAGGGCAGGGCCACGTTTTCTAGTCTACGCGGGCGCTTCCAGAACAGCGAGTCCTTAGAAAGCCGCAGAGAACAGACGTGACAAACTACGAAATAAACTCTGTCTGTGCCAAGCTGAGAACGGACGGGAGAAATGCAACAGACCCCAAGCTTTGCTCCGCGAACGTCACTTCCTGAACCCCCGTTTGGAAACGAGCGGGCTCGCGGCTACTGGTTTATTAACAGAACCTCCAGTAGGAATCGTTGTTGGCATTTGTTTTCAACAGGTGGTTTTCTCCGCGCCCGCCTTGTAACAGCCAGACGCGGAGACCTGCCATCCCTGGGTCCCCACCTTTAAAATCGGAATCATTTTTTAAAAAATACTGCAGCCCAGCCCCGCAGCTCCGCGCACCGGTACAGGTCGGGAAACAAGGAGGCGGCTCTGGTTTAGGAACCGCTTCCCTGTCTTCCCTGCCGGCTTGGTTTGCTCTGTTAGAGTGCGATCCTACAAGAATGTGCTGTGCATTTACTCCTCTCAGTAAAAGGAAAACAAGATGAATAAGAAGCTAAAGACAAAACCAGGAAGACAAAAATTCCCAGAACGCAGGGCGTGAAGATTTCTCCCCACCCCCCTCGCGGTGTATTTTTTTGTGAGGTCACTTCGCTAAGATCCACTGTTACAACACGATCATGGAAATTCTGTGTTTGCTTTTTTAAAATCTCACTTTACCTGTAAGAGAAGTTTGTGAATTTGTTCTTGTAGTTTTGTTATGTCTTTGTCATGACTGTTCATCTTCCTTTTTCTGGTAGCAAAAACATCCTCATTCAGGGGATTCCTGCGAAATGCCAAGCAGAAGATGGTGTCAGGCAATTCAAAATTAATTTACAATGAAGTCTAAAGTGATTTTTAAATAGAATGCTCAAATAACAAATCTATACTTGTACAAAGCAACTCTTTGACTTCAAATAGAAAATATAAAGCTAAATCCCATCCGTGGAGGCAAAAAAAAAAAATACTAAGACGTTATGAGGCTTCTTTGGATCGCCTAGAGCACTAATCTTTCGACATCTACGTCAGCATTGTTTTGCAGAAATCTAAACTCAGTGAGGAGTAACCTCTTTAGATACCAAAATATCTGCAACAACTACTGGTCTCAAAATTTAACATTAACTGAGTAACCTATTGTACAAATTTTAAGACCCTAGGTCCGCCAAACAACATTTGATATTTAACATACCTAATCACTTCAGCAACCCAACTCTTGGTGCAACCGTGGCTGTCAAAACCTGCAGTCTTGTTTACACTAGAGCATTTCAAAACCATGACCTGAACACAGCAAGAGGAAGATGTGCCAGCAGAAAACATCACAGAGAAGAAAATGACGTTCATTAAGGACCTATGTGACAGGAACCATGCCACTTTTATACAGCAAGAATAACATTTTCTAAACCCTTACAATGTGCCAGGCACCATTCCAAGTGCTCTAGCAAGTATTACCTCCTTCACTGGAGCTGAAAACTTCTCAAAGTCACCTAGCTGGTAAAGTCTAAACAGGTATTCATCAAGGGACCAGAGTCTAGGCTTTGGAGTACACTTTTGCCACCACAGTGTATCACCTCTCAGTACCTCAGTAGCTCAAGTACTATTAACATGATGCACTGAGTCAGACATGTCATCTCCTGAGTCCTCACAACTCTATGAAGCAAGAATCATCGTGATGCCAGAGAGGTTGGGTCACTTGCTGACACTCATACCTGAAAAGCAGCAGTCAGGGTTTGAATCTACATGCCTGACTCCAAAACCAGTGCCTTCCCTTTTCTATTCTGCCACCCTGCTGTTTCTCACAACTTTTAACACACAACCCAATTCCCTAAGAACTGAGATACTTTCCCAAAGACTGAAATAATTCTTAATTAGCAGTGTGATAAAAGTAGTCAGGTAGAGCTCTGCCTTTGGAGACTATGTCCCTCTCTGTCCAGAGCCCCATGGCAATGTCTTCTTTGGCGTGCAGACCATGGGTGGTGCCCACCAGTAGTTACCAACACAGCATGATGTATGTGGAACATACATGGCAAACTGTGCTTGAATGCACCACCTGACACACTGTACCCAGCACCCCTTTGGCCCGTCTGCTACCCGTTCTCCCCAGCTTCCCATTGGCATGTGAACTCTGTGGGGTCAGTCTCTCTGGCCTGCTGTGTTCACCTCTCTGGTTCCTCCAACTGTGCCAGGCACATACAAGAATGAATCCATCAGTGAAGGCGCAGTCTTGGCCGGGAGTGGGGGGTAAGGTTACATCTGACCCATGATAAATATGGCTATGCACTATGAGCTTGATACATTCCAGAAACATTTGGTTTGTTTGTCAAATGAAATTCTGGAACAGACATAGAACCAACTGCTTTGTGTTGTGAGATCTATTCCTGTCTGTGAAGCTTTCTACAAAACCAGGTTGTACCTTTAGTCAGTAATCACATAACTCAAGATAATAAATGTGCGGGCTGTGGAGATGCAGCCTTGACCCTAAAGTGGCAAATGCCATGCAGTGCTAGGCCACTGGCTATGGAAGGACACTGCTTGAGGAGTCAGGGAGAAAACCTGGTTCTTCTCTCCACTTCCCAACCTCCTCCTCAAATGACCTCTACAAAAGTTACTCTGTCGCCGAGTATATGGATATTATCTGGAGGATGAGAGGTAATAGCACATCACTGCTTTCCCACAGAGAGGTGGCTAGGTTCCCCGCTGAACACCCTCACTGTACCCCCTCATTGTTCCCATTTCAACCTCACACTTGCCAAAACTCCATTCACACATGCCATTTCTAGGTCCGGGCTCTCCCACTGCACTGTGGGCCCCAGGTCAAGGGAGATGATATCTATATGGTCTACCATCTTAGTCTCAGGGTCTAGCACAATGCCCGGGATAGCAGGTGACCCATAAGTACTTGTAAAAACAGTTGTATAAATATAATGGATGATTATAAAAAGAGTGATAAACATTTACTAGACTCTAAATTTTTCCCTCACATCATCCTGGAAATTGAGATGCAAATGTTGATATAATTTTTTTTTAAATTGCAAACACTGTGAGTACTTATCAGTTAATTTCATACATCATGTAATCACACTGAAAGGACAATTGGGACATCTAGGACATGGCTCTGGCATTGACGGGGAGGGCATAAAGACCAATGGCACCCAGGGGACACCTCATGAGAGCAATCATACTTGCTCTAGGGTTTCCTATAGTCCTACTAAGCAACCACCTGATTTTATTTTCCTTTCCCTACAGATTTCCCTACCTGGAAAAAAAAAGTCCTTTGTGGCCAACATGAGTAACACTGACTTGGCAGTCATATTTCTGATCCTAGTTACTACATTAGTTTTCTAGCAGAAGTTGGTCTCTTGAGTTAGGGCAGCAAGGAGCCCTTTTCTCCCATTAGGGTTCTAGACCTGCTCTACTGAGAAGCCAAACCCAAAGCACAAAGACATAGGAGGACCTTGGGACCATTTCTCACCATGGCTAGGTATCTTGTATTATGTATTATTAAGACACGACAAAATAAGTCTTACTGGTACACCTACGTTCTCAGTTTTATGCTTATGTGCACAAAGCTGTATGACAAAACACAAAAGACACGATTTCTCAACCTTAGCATGATTCTAAAGAGTTAAGTACAATTTCCATGCTAAAAAAAAAACAAACCCCAAAAGATACCACAGGGGAACCTATGGCCCAGCTGAGAAATTTACAGGTCAATTTTAATTTTAAGCCAAAAAGTCAAGGGACTGGGACGATTTTAGGCTCCAAGAGTGGTGGGCCAAGTAGCTGTGATCAAAGAGGCTAGAGTCAGCCATGTTGTCAGGAAAAGAAAAACTAAAGCATCTAATTTTTAAAAATAAAGATCTGATAAAATGGACACAAATAAGTGGAATTTGACAGCAGAAGCTGATATAAAATGGTTTACATGGTCACTAAAGAGAACTTTAAAATTCAGAAAAGAAAAAAAAAAAAAACCACACACACACAAAAAACACCTCACTCCATTACCCTACACAGAGTCAAAATTTGTATTTTATTTCCTTTCTTCTTCTTCCTACTTCACAGTGTTTATGTGTCATTTGAACACATTTATATTCATACATTATAAACAATTTTGTATGCTGCCTTTTAAATCTGATATATATTTCTCATGTTACATAATCTTTGGAAAAATTTCCTTTGACCAATAATACAACATGTCAAACAAATAGTCTAGAGCTTAATGACTGACATATAAGCTACTCTAAGTCTGCCATTATGATTGAACATGGTGCAAAATATATCTTTTCTTTATAAAGCTCTTCTATATTTAGGCCTGTTTCCTTAGACTGTTTCCATATGGGAATCATGAGGGCAAAGGGGTAGAAATCTTTCAAGGTCCTTGGCAGACCAAAAAAAAAAAAAAAATCTGTGCCTTATTTAGTTATGTGTCAACGAGTCAAAGGGAGTCATGGGTGGAAGAATACGATTTGGTAAGAACGGTCTTCCAGAACCATGAACACTGACTGACTTACGTTTGAACTTTATGCCGACCAATGATGAAAGACACCTTCCGGCTCCATGGGTTCACAAAGCTGGACCAGCTGGAGTCCAAAATGACGTAATCTCCATTTTGGGTACAAAATCGGATGGGTGAGTGTTCAAAGGGAGGGTGGCCTGCATACTTCAAGACTGTAGAAGATAATACCATGAGATTAGAATTTAATGAATGCATATTTAGGGCAAATATTTTTTCTAGGCATTTATTTGTAAGTTCTTCAGATGTCAATACAGAAAAAAAATAGTTTTAGCAGCTTCAACACAGTGCCCACTTGTTAAAGGTTGAGCTCTAGTGATAAAGAGCTTATGAGAAGCTCTAACACGAAATGAAATGAAAAATTAGAGCAGAGGAGTGGTAACAGAAAAACTTCCTCCTATAAAGAAGCAGGTCCTTACCTTTTTGGTGTATTGCGAGCATGAGAGAACGATCTTCTGGGTGCAGATAAGCTAAGACGGATGTTCCCATCAGATCCTGAGGTAGATAACCCAGCAAAGGCACTGCTCTGGGATAGAGACAGAGCACAGACAGCGTGTTACATGCAGCAAGTAATTTTCAGACTTTATACACTTTCAACAATACTTTTTAACTTAATTCTACCTATGAAAAAGAAAAGGCATGCAGAAGATATCATTCCAGCATTTATAAAAGGGGTCATGGGGAAATGGCTCTACAATCTAAGAGATGCTGGGCACTGGACATGTGTCGAAGTCACCTATGGAACTTTCTAGAAAATGATTCACAGGCTCACCACAGGTTAACTAAATCAGTTTCTGGGGTAAGACCAGGAATCTGTATCTTTAGCAAGTTCCACAGGGGTCTCGGACACCCCTCCCAATTTACAAAGTTTACAAAGGTCACATTGTAATGCAGAAGAATGCTGATGGTGTTAAGTGAATAAAGCAGGGTGCACATTTATCCAGCACGATTAAAACTGTGCGGAAACAGTATCTCCCAGAAGGTGGAAACAGACAGACGCCAGGAACACAAAGACATGTGCAGGATGGAGTTTCACGGGAGGGCAGTGAATGCACAGCTCTCATGGTCACGTAGAAAGAATGGACTCCATGAGTGTTTTCTGTGTGTCCAAATTCACAACCATTTTCTAATGCAATAAATTTAAGCCATTACCAGGGTATCTGCAGCGAAATATTCTTACTCTCTACAGATTCCACGATACAAAGTATTTCATCAATTACTGTTTAGTTTCAGGGTACCTATTATTAAATAAACCTATTTTCAGATGTTAAGATTTTTTAAAAATCAAAATGAAAAGCTATCCTAACTGTGCCAACCGTTTTGACTTTGTTGGTTTCCACTTCCGTGTGCCATGGTGCACTGAGTGCCTGATTTTCCGATTTCACGAATAAGTAAATTCAAAAATAAACGTGGGAAGAAACAGAGGGTACTCACCAGGGGATAACAGTGTTTATTTTTTCCAAATAAAAGTATTAAAAAACAACAATAAGCAATGACTACTATCTGCTATCATGATTCTTTAAGAGCACTTTAATATCAAAAAAAGGTAGAAAAGACATCAGTTCAAAATGACTGATGATGCTTTAAATTAAGTAAACTTAGCTTTACCAAAAAAAAAAAAAAAACACTTCTTATTTCTCCTTTTGTTTCTCCCTTCACTTCAGACTGAGAAACATTTCATCCAAAGGTATTTTAGAAAAGCACTTGTCTGATGGAAATCATGTTGGTACAGGAGCTAGAGGCCAGAGTTAGAGTTTTGGTCTCCTTTGAGGACAATCACGTACCATGTCCAGGTTCACTGTCCTCCTGTGTAACATGGAGCAACAATTCCTGACGTACCTAAAGCAGACTACTGTCAAATCAAATACAACTTGCAAACTGTATAAGTAGAATATGCAAGATCTTTACATTGAAACATAAACTTCAAGCTAACAAATCAAACTTGCAAATGGTTGGACATATGTTTCATAATGTGGACGTATGTAAACATAATGTAAATATTCTCATATTTCTATTTTCAGAAACAAATTTTTTTCAGGCTTAAAGAAGCACTTACCTTTCATCTATTTCAAGAAAGACACATCCTGGGGTGTGTGTTGTGGTAAAAATTCTTTTATCCACTGGGATTCGAGGAGCTACGAAAAACAGAAAGACTCACCTAAAGGCAAATATTTAATTAGTCATGCCCTTAACTGACCACTTACATTAGAGAGGGAACAGTATCTCATATGAAACAGTAGAAATCTCACTCGGGGGCCTGGCCTTCAAGAAACAAGGCTACGGTTATGTTATATAATACTTGTCGTTACTAACTACATTTTGATTAGCTCAAAATGCAATGGCTACTGAAGTCCATTGTAAGTCGAGTTTGTGTGCACGGAATCACTCATCACAATCCAGCAGGCCGAGCTGGCAGAAATGAAAGGTCAGGCCTGGTGGGTCTGGTGGTATTTGGTGGTGCTGTGTGACTAAGTACAATGAATTTGGTGTCAGTATTTTAAATTTGGGTCAGAAAACTCATACGGTCAGTATTAATGCATGAATTTGGAAATATAGTCTACCATCAGAGAACAGAACTACAGCTTCCACTCAAGGCCTTTCAGAATACTTAAAAAATACAAATTCATTTTTGTGACCTCATAAGAAACTGTGCAAGTTTTCATGCTTTTTTTTTTTTTAAAGATTTATTTATTTACTTGAGAGAGAGAGTGGCTGTGTGTGAGTGTGGGGGAGAAGCAGAGGGAGGGAATCTCAAACAGACTCCCCACTGGGCATGGAGTCCGTCTCCATGCCGGGACTGGTAAGATTGTGACCTGAACTGAAAACAAGGGTCAGGCATGTAACTGACTGAGCCACCTAGGTGCCCCCAAGTTCCATGCTCTCGTTTCACACAGGGCAGAAGCCAGAGGCCACCAGTCACCAGTACAGAATGGATCAGACCAGGTATCAGTGGCCAAGTCTGTGCTTAGATCTTAGGCCACACTGACCTTGAAGGAGACAACTATGGAGAAGTCAGGGTCAGGAAACGGAGACACCAGGGCAGATCAGCTCTAAATGCCCAAGAGTTCAGGGCCAACATGAAGCCTCGAGCACTCTTTTCTGGTGCTGCAGCTGCAGTCAACAGGCTTCCACATGCTCCTACCTGCACGGCTGTCAGGTTACGTTTGATCCAGAAACAGACCCTCCTGCCTTACCTTCATAACCAGAGTGAATCTTCTCCACCAGGGTGAGACAGCAGGGCTCAGATTCCAGCTGGGCAGAGCTACGTACATGCAGCAGATAAGGGATAATCCGGACTGGGCAGTAATGTTTCTCTTGCTCTGTGTCCTGGCCTCCCCTGAAAAGCACAGAGACGGTGAGTGACCTCTCCTGATGCATTCAGGGAGCCCAGCATGAAACAAGGCCTTGAGAGATGCCTTCTTGGTGATTTCTGAAAGAGACCTACCCAAATCTAAAATGTTTAAATGTGTTTATTTTAAAAAGAAATGTTAGTTTACATTTTCAATGCCCAAGGATAATTATACTCATTCTTTATCCAATGAAAAAGAGGAGTTATGGAGAACCAGCTTAGTGGGTTAAAAGTGGAACCAGCCATTCCATGACTTTTCTTCTGACCCAAATCATGTGACCTCCTGGTCTTACCTCACGTGCCTCAACCAAGTACCACATGACAGCAATCAGGTTTCCCTGTGATCATGCCCCCCAAAGCCAGCTCTCCACCACCCCTACCTACACTCTCTCAAGGGGCTGACTTCGTCCCATAGTTTCACGACTACCTGGATGGGCACAGGGCCCTGTGCGGGGGGGAAGCAGGCATCAGGAAAGCAGGGCTAGAACGTGCTGGCCGAGCCCTGGCCCAGCTGGGCAGGGGCGGCTCGACTCCCGGCCTTTCACCCGGTTTTATAGCTCCAGCTGCCCAGAGGATATTTCTCCTTGGATACACTGTGGTCCCCTTAGTAGCGACGTGCCCACAACCGAATCCATCCCCCCCACCCCCCGTTTCTATGGGTCACACCTCGCCTCTCCCACCACTGGCCGAAGTCACATCAGGTGGTCTTCAGCTGCTAGAAGCTCCACCTCCGTGTGCCCTGTACTCCCCCCACCCCCACCTCGCTTCCTTGCCTCTCCACAGACCCTGGTGCCTCTGCTCCCAATCGTGTCCCTGCTTCCGTTTGAGAAAAGAGCAGCCTGACCCTGACCCTGACCCACCAGCTGTCCTGTGTCTCCCACCTGTTCCTGGGCCTGCATCTCCCAGGCTCATCCCATCCTGGCTTCTGCACGCTCTGTGTGCGCTGACGAACCGAGTACCTGTCTCCAGCCCGGACTTCTCCCTGAACGCCACACCCACCTACCGATGCTCCTCCGTCAACACCACAGAGTTCAAGTTCCACCAGACAAGGCCAATCAACTTGTCTAAAACCAGGCGCCGGACTCTTCCCCTCCTCGCTCCAGGAAGCGGCTCTTTCCTTTCACACCCAAAACTGGTCCATTAATGAACTCCAACAGCTCTCCCGAACAAAGATATCTGGAATCCCCAAGGTATGTCTGTGTCTTCCTGCTGCCACTGCCCAGTGACAGCCCTTCTCTCCCCGGCCCTCCCTCCTGCCCCTCATCCCTGCCCCTTCTCCAGAGCAGCGCCCGACGAGGCCCTCTTAGGCCAGGTCGCATCCCTCTAAAAAATGCAACTGGCCTGTCTCTGTCCACTGAGGATTCCCAGAAACTGTGTGAAGCCTGGTTGGTCTCCAGACGGTAATGCCATCTCCCACCTCAAGGAAGGAGGGATCGTGGGAGAAATGACGGACTCCACATGTGCGGTAGGACACATCTAGGTGGCACCTGGGCCACTGTGCCTGGAGCAAAGGCAGCTGTCAGCGCCCCTGGGGGTACCCTCACATGGCACTGGAGCGAACCTGAAAGGGTTCATGCTGGCCACAAGCGAGACCATTTGAGCATCACAGAGATGAACGAGCATCTTCTGTTTTTGCTCACATTCTGAAATGCTGATGGAGGAAATGATCCACGGTCTGAGAACTGCTTCAGCGTCAGGGGGAGGGTGGGCTGAGGAGCTGGCGGTGGCAGATACGACAGAAGACTGGCTGTGGATTAAAGTCAGTGAAGCTGAATGGTGAGTCTGTACCAGTGCACTGTACTGTCTCCCCTACTTCCATGTTATTTTGCAAATTCCAAAAGTAAAGTTTTCAAAAAAATGATTAACCTGAACAAAACATGCCCTTCGGAAGTCAAAGCTCCCTATGGTCCGGTCCCTGTTTCTTCATCTCCTTCCACTCTTCTCCAGCCATATTAGTTTCCTTGTTACTCCCCCCACAGGCCAAGCATGCTCTGCCCCAGGGCCTTCGCACTTGTCTGGAATACTCTTCCCTCAGGTAGAGGTATGGCTTGCTCCCTCACTACCTTCAGGCTCTGGCTCCAATCAGGCTTCTTATTAGAGAACATTCCTTAACCACCCTGAACACACTAGTAATCTCTCTCCTGCCCAGAATTCCCACTCCTTCCCTCTCCTTCACTATTTCACATGGAACTTACCGCCAGCGGACACACACACAGGTACCTGTTTGTTAACTGTCTCCCTTCCACACACAGAATGGAAGGTCCACAAGGGCAAGAACTTTGCACCTGTGATCTTGCCTGGCTCAGAGAAGGCAAAGAAATATATTTACTAGCAAATAAACACAAACAGCACTTAGTCTGTGGTGAGCACTGTTCTAAGGTCTTCGTTAACAGTTCCTCTGTGAAGGACTGAACGGGCCAACACAGCCCTCCCTCCTGCGGCCCTCTCCCCGGCGTAGCCTTCCCCAAGCACTGGAACGCTGTGAGCTCAACGGCTCCAACCCTGCGGAGTGCTGACTGGTCCATTACAAGGACTGTTCTCTTTAGTTTTCCACATCTGGACCCTTTAGTAACTTCAGTACTCACGCTGGCAATCGTGATGTCACTGAACCACACTTCCTTATTGCAAAAGTAACATGAACACAGCACAGCAAATTCAGAAGAAAAAAAAAATCACTAACAAATCCTATCAGAAACCAACTACGATTAAAATTTGGGTCAGTTTTCTTCCAGTTCATTACATCTGGACCTTTTAAATCCTTCCCTTAGACACAGGTATTTTACTTTCTTTAGTTATTTAAAATTTAGGAAGTTAGGGGCGTCCGGCTGGCTCAGTCGGTAGAGTGTGTGTCTCTTGATCTCACCAGGTCACAAGTTCAAGCCCCATTGCTTAAAAAAAATTTTTTTTTAATCAAGTAAAATTTCAAAAATTAATTTTAAGTGTGACCAAGAGTGAAAAAGCAAACAAAAACCAACAGATCCCCAAACAATGGGCATTTGAAAGTGTACTTAACATCATCCAGCGATTCCTAGTGAGAAAGAGAGACAGAGAACATGAGAGAGAGCACGAGAGCGCGCGAGCACCCCCGGCTAAGAATGATCTCTCTGTTCTTCGTCCGGACTGTGTTATTACCTCGTCATTTGGAGTGTACGCTGCTTCTCCTCAATCAAAACACAAACTTCTGTGGCAAGAACCCAGTGCTAGCTGAATACAAAAGAATCTAAAAAGGGCCCCCCAAAATCAGAGTGTAACCCATTGTTCCTGCCCCTCACATGCCCCCAGACTTACCGGATCCTGCAGAAAAAGGACTTCACCGGAGTGGAGTCGTACTGAGATGCTGCAGGAAACAGAGACAAAGCATTAATCACCCCCTCCCAGAGCAACAGGCCAGAGCAGCTCACTGTCCATGAGACAAACTCCAATTATCCCCAAACAAATGAGAAACTGCTCTTTTAAAGGAGATACCCTTGATTCAAACAGGGCTTCTGCCCTCTCTCTGAGATGGAGTCACATCCAGTATTTTCCAGGGGGATTTGGTACTCTTGCTGTGACCCTCAGGGAGACAGCAAGCATATGTATGTAGGACTGAGGGCTTTCCCTCATCAAACTGCTGAAACTGCCCATGCTCCTCCTTCCGAGCTCAAGGTAATGATCTGGGGACACAATTACTTTGGTAGTCATGTTCTATTTCACAGTTATAGTCCGCACAGGTCTCAAAAACTGCTGATTTGGACCACTTACAGTGTTTAGGTACAGGATACAGAAATGTCTGTTTTCTGTCCTTGGACAAAATCCCCGAAGTTGGGGCCCAGAAATGACACAATCGTCTTAGGCCTCTCACCATGGAGTGCCTCCCTGGTCTACAGAAGATCGTACCAACTACCAGGGTCTCTAAGGACACGTTCTCACCAGCCTCACACCAACGTTTGTGCTGGTTTATGGATTTCGGTGTTAATTTCATTGATTTGACAAGTGGTAATTCCGAAATGTTTAATTTACCTTGATCGAGGGGCTGAACCTTTTCCCAAGTGTTTATCGACTATTTAGCTCTCCTCTGCTTAGAGCGCCTTGAATTGATCTTTGGGACACTTGCCCACTGCGTGAAAAAGCCTCAGTTACAGGAACCAAGGAAATGCTTAAAACCAAGGCGATATTTTATAAGCATATACCAAAGGAGCAGAAACAACGAGAACTCTGGAGAACCAAGGCAGGGCACGTGGTCCAGGTCTTTGCACTTCTGAGGAGAAGATCACAGAAGAGTCAGAAAATGGACTTTTGAATGACCAGGTTAAATGTACCTGATTAAAAAAGCAAACAAACAAAAAAACCCCCGAAAAACCAAATCGCAAAAACTCCCAGTTTCAAAGGCACCAATGATCCAACTCTCAGAATTCAGAACACTATGGAAGTCACAGTCCTGGAATTCTGAAACCAGAAGACTGTTCTTACGGCTCGTCTGTGAGGAGGAACCGAGCTGACAAGGTCAGCTCACCGAACTCATGGCTCCGAGCCACCCAACGGGCGCTAACATCGAAACCACCCCAGGAAAGGCTCAGAGAAGCTTGCGGAGGGCTGATGGCAAGATAAGGATGTCTCAAAAATATTAACTTTTTGAGATGATTTTTATAAACAGGACCCATTCCTTGGTGTCGTTTTCAAATGCCCACCTTCGTGTGGCCGCAGATGTCCTGTTTGATGGTTCCCACCGCAGGGACTGACGTGGTCCGGAGGGGCAGCGGATCCCAGCAAGGGCCCTGACTCACACTGGCAGGGTGAAATCCCGCTCCGCACCTGCCGGTAGCGCGACCTCGGAGGAGTCCCTTAGCTCTGTGCCTCAGGATCAGAGAGACGGAGAAAGGGCGTGGCTCCCGGCTTCAGGGGACATCACTGACCGCAGGCCACAGCTGCTATCTCAGGGCCCCACATTTGGTGGCTGTTCTCACCCAGGGCCCACACACGGAGCGGTACTGAGACAGGACCATTCCATGGAGATTCTGGGCTCCTCTGGTGTGTGACCGTGGCTGGGACTTCCCTTTGACTGCCTGGCGAAGTAGTCCTGTGAGCCGTGTGGCAGGCCAAGCCGCCTCCTCCCCGGTCCCCCGGTTCCCGCTCCTTCCACCAGTGTCAGGCATGCACCATGGGCTCCCCTCCATCACCCACCCCCTGCAGCATGTCACTTACACAGCTAAACCCATCTTGGCGTCTGCTGCTCAGGAGACCCAAACTAACACAGTTACCTTATCCGTCAACTGGGGACAGTGATGGGGTCTATTGCTCCTAAGGTTTTTGTGAAGATTGAATTAGTCAATCCAGTGAAACATGAAGAAAGGCCCTGGCAAACAGTAACCATTCTACAGAATGGCAGCAATGAAGAGGAGCCCTTGTGTTGCAGAACATTCCAGATACCTCAAGTGCTCCAACTGCCAGCGTGCTTTCTTCTCTCAGTGACTGTGTGTTAGCGGGCTGGTGGGACACGACGATTTTATAGTGAGAAGCTACATGGCCTCCTTGGTTCCAGAAGGGACAAAACTCAATTTAAAACTCAGGTCTTCCGATTTCCTTGCTTAAAATTCTTTGCACATAGGAAATACAGCTAGCTACTCTACCAGAAGGGAGACTTGAGTGTACTCTGTGTAAGGACAGCAGGCACTGCAGTCTCTAGGAGTTGTGCAGGACCGAGAGCCAGACTATGGGATCTCAAACAGTGGATGCGAGTCCCTTCTCAGTTCCACACCTCGGCTGCGGGGGCGAATCCTTATTTTCAGACGTGCGCTCTACAGAATAGCGGTCAGAGCTTTCCGGGAGGTCTGTACGAGCCAAAGTCGAAACATCCTCTGACACCAGGCCAAAGGCTGACATCTGCTGAGTTCCCAGCTTCCTATGTCCCCTTCACGCTCCAGGAGCTCAGAGGAAGTGCAGAAGGAGGCAGCAGGGGCCCAGCCCAGAAACGGCTCAAGAAGAGCCGGAATCACGGAGGTGTGCGAGGCCAAGCCCAGTGCAGGGGGTCGCCAGGAGCACCACCAGCTCTTTAAGGAGAAAGCCAAAATTCAGGTTCCCAAAACAGCAACTTCAGAATATGTTACCTTTTTACGTGTTGGGGAGATATCACGGCAATAACTTGCAAAGATAACACGGCTGAAAGGAGCAGACAGAGACCCCAGGGGGCACTGACGGTGGAGGGAAGGTGGGGGGCGGGGCGCCTGGGGCCGTCTTGGCACCTGAACAGCTCCCGGCCCCCAGCGCCGGCAGGATAAATGGCGGTGGAGGGGAGGAAGGATGGATAAAAGCAGACAAACAAAAATGGACAATTAGAAGTTGAAAATACATGCTCAAGAAAGAGGAAGAGAAATGAAATCAACCTTGTCTTAGGGGAACAGGAAAGAGTTGGAAACAAGCAAGGAAGACAGGTGTGCATTTTGAAATGACCATGAGCTACGCCCAAAAGACGGGGCCAAAGTTCTGCCACGGAGAAAGGAGCGTCTGTTCCCACGGGACACGGCCTGCACTAGAAAGCTGGAATGGGCATGGGGCCCTAGATTGCAAAATGAGAACGTTCTGGAGAGGTGTTTCACATCCGTGCCAATGTCTAACACTACTGAACCGTATACTTAAAAATGGTTAAGATGGTACATTTTGGATATATACTTTTTTTTTTTTACTATAATAAACAAATTTAAATTTTAAAAAAGCTAAAGAAAAGGGCTTGGAATCAAAAGAAAAAGGTTGATCTAATATTCTAATTACTAATATACTAATATCACAAAGAATATGAAATAATAAAGGGTGACTTTAAAAAGAAATAATTATTTACAGAATCACACAGGACTGCAAGTCACAAAGCAAACCAGGACTAGGCATTCCCAGTTCAGGGAAATAACTATTTCAGAAGAAAAAGTAATGAGATTCATGAACTTTTGGGGAGAAGCAAAACTGGAAGGGGAGCTAATCATGAGAAGTTTCTCTCCAAAGCCAAGCAAAGAAATAATGAAGTCAATGTGAGAAGGAAAACGTTTAATTTTATTAACTTAGAGAAAACAGAATCCTTCTAACAGTGAGACTGCTATATGGGATGCAGGCAGTCAAACCATATTAAAAAAAAAAAACGTATTTATGATATGGAACCTATAAAATTAACTTCACGAAGTCAAAGTGTATTAATTGGAATTTTGTTATTAGAGGATTTAAAATGTTGTTTCTAACAGTCTGACTTTTTATTTATTCATTTACGCGCCTTTGTTTTTTTAAAAAATTTTATTTTAGTAGTCCACCCAATGTGGGGCTCGAACTCATGACCTCAAGGTCAAGAGTTGCACATTCCACCAACTGAGCCAGGCAGGAGCCCCACATTTCAATTTTTTACATAAAGAAATAAAAACCATATAGTGTGCAGGTCTAAAACAATATGTTAATTTTGGTTGTCTCTCTGAAAGAATGAAACTGATCGTGCTGAGGCAAGGTAAACATCTGAGCCTGGGTCCCATTACCTCTTTGGGTCCAGCTGTTCCAGAGGGGGAGGTGAGCGTGGGCAGTGTGTGCACAGAAAACCCTCACATCTTGGGGAGCGAGCAGTTCCACGAAGTGAGATGACTCCAAGAAATCTTTCTTACAATTCAGGATTGAAGCAGCTTGTTCAGAAATGTGCACTAACCTTCCAGACAGAAAGGAAAAAACTGCCACAAAGGTACCCTAGGAAAAACATTTAAAATAAACGCAAATATTGAGACACATGTGAACAATATTCCCTGAAAGGTCAATTTCTTCTAGACTCCTAATGTCATCAACACAGGCACATATCCTGAAAAGCCAGCGCGATTCTCCAATATATGCCTTAATGGTCTTCGAAAAACCCACATTTGATCTTCTGAAGGTCTGATTTCTATACCAGACAATGTACCAGTTCATCCTACATCGACTAAATGTGCATACGGCTTAACCACTTCTGATGCCTCCTCATTTTCACACTGACGGGACTGTCTTCTCTTGACCAATGCGTAATTCTAGGCTTCAAGACCACGCTCAAGAGCCACCTCCTTCAAGACACTGTCTTGGACACGCCTCGCTACGTAAGAATCATGTCTCCCATTTGTTCCATGAGACCGCAGTGACATTTACAAATTGACCACTGTTCCTGTCCCCTACCATTGGCACATCCTTCTAAGTTTTATCTTAAAGACCTTAAGGGAAAATGTTTTCTTAAACTTTTCCTTGTTTCTTCCAACTCCACCACACCCACCAGAGTCCCATAAACACCGCAGTCAGTGAAACAAACACTACTGTGATCTCAGGGAGCGCTCTCGTTCTGACATTACAAGATCTCTACGTCTGAGGTCTAAACATGAAACCAAGCCATGCCCATCCCAACAACGAGGCATGAGGCTGAATGATTCTGCCAACATGATTCAAAAAAGATACACGACATGTCTCTTGCCCAATTTTACAGAAAAATGACAGCATCTCAACTCAGCTGGTTCTATAAAATCCAGCTGTTACAACTTGAAGGAGTAGGTATTGGAACTAAGAATGATATAAATACAAATTAACAATTCAGAAATTAGAATAAAATGAGAGCGGTTACGCTGCAGTTTATTTTTTATTTTTTTATTTTTGGTCGAGAGATCGCAGAGGTGCTCAGGAGGCAGGGGCGGCTGGTGAGGGGAGCCCAGCAGACCACCACCCCCGGGCCGCCGCCTGAGTTTACATCTGCGCTCTCACGAGGGCAGCAGAAACTGAGTACAGGACGCCTCCTGGGCAGTCTCTGTTGTTTGCCTCACATCACGGTTACTGAAGCTCCAACATATTAGGTTTCAAGATCTACGTCTAGATAAAGTTAGGAAAAACCACACAGGCTGATATGGCAAAATGTGCGGATTCTTACTGTGTTTTTGGAAGGGTACCCCGAGGCAGCCGTGCCCAGCTCCTCAAGACTGTAGGTGGTCGCAGCTGCTTGAGGTGCTCCACTCTGACTGAGGGTCTGGAAAAACCCACTGTTTGCTAAGAAACACAGGAAAATAAATAGGTAGTCCAGTGACGGCGATAGCTTAAGGAGATCATTTTTACCACCCTTGAAGTCGGGTTGTTTTTTAGGATGAGGACACCTCGGCGTATCTGCCTCAAAACCACATCATCATCTTTCACCTAAAACACTGACAGTTGTACCAACGTCGAGCCTCTGGAGTTTAGGACTTTCTGATGTTCTGTGTCACAAGGAGCAAGCTCCATATAAGGTATGAAAACCCCAAATTCCAAATACATGCACGTGGCGTGTTTATGGCAGAAATACTACTTTTGTATTCAGGACCTGTGTGTCATACATGACGTCACAGAGGTGAGCTAGCTAAAGAAAATGTGTGCCTTGTTAAATCCCTGAAAAAGAAAGGTCAGAGATAGTAAGGGAAAGGTGCTCGCAGCGGTTCATTTTTAATTTGGCAAATTCCCTGGCGAGGATGCGGAGAAAGGGGAACCCTCCTACACTGTCAGTAGGAATGCAAGCTGGTGCAGCCACTCTGGAAAACAGCATGGAGGGTCCTCAAAAAGTTGGAAATAGGGGTATCCTACGACCCAGCAATCCAGCAATCGCATTACTGGGTATTTACCCTAAAGATACAAATGTAGCGATCCGAAGGGGCACGTGCACCCCAGTGTTTATAGCAGCAATGTCCACAATAGCCAAACTATGGAAGGAACCTAGGTGTTCATCAACGGATGAATGGATAAAAAAGATGTGGTATATAAATACAATGGAATACTATGCAGCCATCAAAAGAAATGCAATGACGTGGATAGAACTAGAGGGTATTACGCTGAGCAAAATAAGTCAATCAGAGAAAGACAATTATCATATGATCTCCCTGATATGAGGAAGTAGAGAGGAAACGTGGGGGGCTTGGGGGGTAGGGAAGGAAAAAAACAAAACAAGATAGGATCGGGAGGGAGACAAACCATAAGAGACCCTTAATCTCACAAAACAAACTGAGGGTTGCCGGGGGGCAGGTAGGCAGAGGGTGGTTGGGTGATGGACATGGGGGAGGGTATATGATATGGTGAGTGAAGTGTGTAAACCTGGCAATTCACAGACCTGTACCCCTGAGGCTAATAATACATTACATGTTAATAAAAAAAAATTAATTTGGCAAATTCCTGACATACCATGAATGCGTTGTAACAGTATGTGGATGACACGGAAAGGCAAGCTGTATTTCCCAAATGTGTTTTTTCCCCAATACTCTGAGAAAACCATGATCCTTTAAAAAGCAAGCTTTAAAATGTGCTAAACTCTACTCTCCTAAAGCAAATAATCAAAACATGGCAGAGTCGCTCAACAACAGTTCCTAAACTATGACACAAAAAAGGTTCTCCTGATGTTCCTAATTTGCCAAACCAAGACATGAACACAATCTATGTGGATTTGCTCATCTCACATCAAGCACCTCAAACGCTCAAAACATTTCAGGGATCAGAACCAAACTGACAGCTCTTCCGGCTTGGCCCACGTTTACGAACAAAATGATGTACTCCCAGGACTGTACTTTTTCTCCCACTCATTTACCTTGTACTCTGTGCACGCAGCGAAGGGCATAGTTGAGGGCATCGACAGTGCTTGGCTTACTGTGTCTCCCTGATGGGAAGTATTTTTTCATTTCTTGCACAACCATTACAAGTTCTTCAGAAACTCTATTTCGATCTTGCTGTTCACTGTAAGACAAAACAAAAAAAGAACCACCCTATCAATTCACATTCAATTAAAATTAAAATTCAAAAAAAGAGCAGCCCGCGTTTATCAAACGTGCCAAGCAACTTTCTAAGTGCTCCCCACAAGTCATCTCATTTTGTTCCCAGGTTTATTTTCCCCTTTGGAAGGTGGGGGATCCTGGCCAAAGAAACTGGTAAACATCAAACATCTTCCTTTTTTCCCATTTTTTCTCATCCCTCCTCCAGCTCCCCCGCTCAGATAAATCCTTAACCACTGTTTCCAAACTTCCGGCACTCTTTGGTACTTCCTCACAGTTTCCCAGAGCTTTTCATTCCATTGTCTGAGGATCCCCCTGAACTTTCTCCTGGGCTTACAAACAAAAAGATAGATCGATTTAAGCCCCCCTGTTCCTGTACTGCCCTGGAAGAACAACAAACAGATAGACCGTGTCACCTGTTGCTGCTCTCCACCTGTGGGCTCTGCAGTTGGAACTTCTGGCTCCACATCTCCTCCTGTCCTCTCCCCAAGGCCTCCGAGGCCCGGGCCTGCGCTCTTTCAAGTTCCAGAGGCTCAGTCCCCCTGGAGTCCAGACATTTAAGGCTGGACCTTTCCAGGTCTTCACAGGGGTCCATCTTCTGCTCAGCAGCCCTCGGTCTGTCGCCTGCTTCCTTTTCACCTTGCAGTCAGCGATAGGAATTTATTTCTCATTTTGGACCACGCCATTGCCTTAGTGAAAATGACTGGTCATCAGGAGCCGGCGGATACGGGTCCCTGGTCACCTGGCCGGTTTCCTATGCAGGATCTCCATGCAGTCTCGGATGGCTCTGCTCACGGGGGCAGCCTGGGGGCGCGGGCGGGGGGGACGTGACTGAGGGGTCAGGTGTCCAGTGACACGGGCGATATGCTGCGGACGCCGGGCTGTGACAACCCCGCCCCCCGCCAGACTCCCGCATTCGCCGGCCTGCCCACCCGCAGCTCCCCACCCGCGACGTGCGTCCAAAAACGACCCGGGAGTGCGGAACTTCCAGCGCCAAGTTCAGGAGCCCCAGGTTCCCCCGGCCCCAGAACGGAGGGCGGACTCGGGGAGATCTCCCCGCCCCAGCAGAGTACTCACCAGCTGCCGCCGCCTCCGCTCACCCCACCGGGCACCGCCGGGCAGCGAGCACTCCCGAGGCCCGCCGCGTGCGGGCGGCCGCCGGCGCCGCGCCCCCCGTGCGCCACGTGACGCGGCCCCGCCCCGAGCCGCGCGATTGGCTGCCGCGGCCGGCTCTGCGCGCCCCTATTGGTTCGAGGGCGGAGCCCGCGCCGGGCGCCCCGGTTACATAACCCGAGGCGAGTGGGCGGGGAGAAGGCCGGGAAACGAGTTACATAACGCCGGGGGTCGGACGAAGGGCGGTGCTCGGCCAATCCCGGCAGGCGGGGACGTAGGCGGGGGGCGGAGGGGCCCAGAGGGGGCTGGAGCTCAGGCCGCGCTAGTCGAGTGCTCCGCCCCATTCGGGAGGGAACGGGACCACCAGGAGGCCGGAGCCAACGCGGCAGGGATAGGGCGCTCGCGCCGCCAATCACGAGGGGGCGGGACCCGAGCGGGGTTGGCCGGCCCCCACGTGAGGGGCCGGAGATCAGGCGGCCGGGCGCTCTGGTGGCCGGGTTGGCGGGGTTGGCCGGGTTAGGGGGGGACGGCCTGGGGCGCGGTCGCGCCAGGCCCGGCCGCGGGAAGAAGGGCTGGATGTCCGAGCGCCTGGTCTGCACCTTCTCGGGCTCCCTTTTTGCATCTTGCTCTCAACCTTGGTGCTTCGCGCCCGCCAGCTCCGGGGGCTCTGAGGTGTCGACCCCGGAGAAGTCCCGGGAAGATCAAAGCCCTGTTTCAGAAACGGAATTTTGACGGCGGACTCCGAACATTTCCCTGGTCCCTGAAGTTACAGGTTGATTTGGCAGCTGGGGGAAGACGAGTGTATGTTAAGAGACGCCGTCTCAGAAAAGGAAGGTGTAGCCAAGCCCTTTGTAAAAATATCAAGTCTGAAAGTTTTTTAGATTGTGTGTCGACTCCTCCGAAGTGCGGAGCTCCGCCCCTTTCCAGTGTCGGGTACATGAAAAATGTTCAGTAGTTTTTGGAAAAATGAAAGGAATTGTATAGAAAAGGGGTAAGTGAAGTGTGCCAGTTGTTCATGTCATGTATTGGATAAACCACCTCCTTTTTCCAAATGACGCAGATGTCCCTCTCCTCTCGTTTTGTCGCACTGCGTTCTGCGTTCGTTCAACAGACACTTACTGAGCAGATGATCTGGGCCGGGATGACTGTGGTCCCCGAGAAAGAGTGGTGGCGAAGGTCCCTGCCATTCAGGAAGTCTACCTTTTATGAAGACGGAAGACACAAGCAAGTGGATAGGCTGGGTGGAATGTGAAACGAAGACGAAATGCAGCTGGGAGAGGGTGGAGGGTGAAGGACGCAACAGACACGTTAACTTGGTGATCGGGGAAGCCTCTGGGACTGGGCGAACTGAAACCTGAGTGTGTGTGTGGTGGGGGTGCGGGTGGCCCAAAGGGAGGGGGTAGAAGACACCTGCAGAGGCTCTGGCAGAGCAGGTGTGTTGTTCAGGAACAGAAAGAACATCTACTTTGGAGAATTCCCAGAGGGAGGAGGAATGGTGTGAGAGGCAATCAGGAAGTCAGGAAGGGCCAGATTATAATTAGGGAACGCGATTTGGGTTTTCTTCTAAAGGTAGTGGAAAGAGGATTTGAAGCAAGAGAGCGATCTGTATTGGCCAGATTTCTACACAGGGAGTGGTTAACAGGTGGCTGTTAGTTACAAGAAGAGGGCTGAGGACTGGTTGGACTAGGGTGGTTCCAGGAATGACCACGAGAGGAGACTAGACGTGGGAGGCATCTGGGGCACAGAAACTTGCGGATGAGTTGAGTGTGTGTGTGAGAGAGAAAGTGATCAAGGGACTCCTGGGTCTTTGGTGTAAGCAGAGCTGCGTGTCATGGGTCATCAGCATAGATGGACAGGTCTGGGGAGAGTAAGTTTTGATGAGGGGAGAATGGAGACTTGTTTCCCACACGTTATGTTTGAGCACGCAGGTGGGACTGTCAGGTGGGTGACTGGATGTCCCAGCCCGGGATGCAGGGAAGAGGCCAGGGATGGCGAGATGGCTGACGTTTGGAAGAGGCCAAAGTCCCTACAACGTTTACAGTCACAGGTGAAATTCTCAACAGGAAAATGCAGATAGAGGAAGGCCAAAGGCCAAGACTGGGGGAGGGGAGAGGCGTGGAGATTTAGAGGCCTAGCAGAGAAGGTGAAGAATAAGGTGAAGAATGAGGAGCCATAGAGGGGGTTGAAAGAAAAGCAGAAGAACGTTGGGTCATGGGAGCTAGAGAAATATTTCAAGGAGAGAGCTATTCACCGTATCAAATGCTGGTGATGCACAGAGTATGAAAAGGGCAGAGAAAATTTCTGTGGTGCTTCACTGAGACAGTGACCTTGGTTAAGGATGTCCCAGTGGTGTTGGCTGAAGAAAAGTGCAATGGGGGGCAGTAACCACGGCAAGCTGTGGGGAGGGCTTTCGCTGTGTGGGGCTGCAGACAAGTGTTTGTTTGCCCAAGGGAGGGACATAGGGATCACATTAGGGTCTGATGGGGTGAAGCAGGAGGAGGAGCCGCAGACAAAGGGAATTGCTGGAGGGAAGGCTTCCACTAGGCTGGGATCCAGAACCTGGACTAAAGACAGGCACTTGTGTTAACAGGGGATTGCCCATGGTTCCTGACAGTATAAAGACAAGTAGAAGATTTTGAAATGCACTTAGCTTGCTACTTAGAGGATGAAGGGAAAAAAAATCAATGGTTTTCTAATAATTATGCCATAATTGACTTATTTAGTAAATTGTGGTTTCATAGATTGAATTTTCTGCTAGTGTAAAAAGCAGCTCAGTTATATAAGGATGCTATTTTTTTTTAAGATTTTATTTTTAAGTAATTTCTATACCCAATGTAGGGCTCACACTCACCACCCTGAGATCAAGAGTCTCACACTCCACCGACTGAGCCAGCCAGGCGCCCCCAAGGATGCTATTTTTAAATGCACTGAGCAGTCCAGTCAATTTTAAACAAATAATCCTCACTCAAAACTAATAAAAAAAATCACCATACTTTTAAAAAACATTCTTTTAGTGATGCAAATATGGAATTATCACGTAGGATGCACAACTCATTCAAAAATATGTATGAGTCAAGGGGAATTTGCCACATCCTTTGACTTAAATTGTCATCAGGAAGGCAACTGTTCACAAACATCACATTTCTCCTTCAGGTGACATGTGGTCCCTGCCACCTATGAGGTTAGGCGGGGTCGTGTGACTTGTTTTGGCCAGTAGTGTAAGCAGAACTAAGAACCCCGCTTGCAGACAGAAGCTTTGAGAGCCAGCGCACAGTTCCTGATGTTCTCCTCCTGCCACAGTGATAACCTGAAACAAATGTTTACAGGAAGTCCCTCGCCGAGGGATTGAGGGTAGAACCTTCCTGTTGGCTGGCTTTGGACATGAGGCATGAGTGAGGAAATAACTTTAATCTGTTGAGATTTGGCAAACGTTTATTACGTAGCACTCCAGCACCTTCTGAGTGATCTGTATGGTCATGACAAGTATCAGCAAGTACAGTGGACTGGTCTGGCGTGGACACTGGATGGATGGTGGTGCCATTTTCTGGAACCGACACTGTTAATGGTAGGAAGAGGAGCGTGCTGCAGGGGAATGCCTAATTCTGTTCGGTCCACTAGGCCAGGAATCCTCAGTACATTCAAGATTAGAGATGTGGGAAGAGATAAGATTGCCCCTGGGAGACTGAGTAGAATAGAAAGAAGTTGGCTGAGGACCCAGTTGGCCGAGGAATCCTGACATTTACAGGAGAGGCAGAAAAGAGCCCATTTATGGTAGATTTTCCTTCAAAATCTTGAGAAAGGAACCAAAATTTATATAGATCTCATTATACTAAGGTCCCAAACTATACGATTCTGCTGTAGGTGCTTTACCAGGACACGATAGCATGGCAGACAAGAAAAGTGGCGACCATCTATCCAAGGTCAAGGAAATGGAAGAAGTCAACCATTTCTCTCTCAGGTTTATATAGGAAACTGGCATTTCACTGTAACCATAAGCAAAGGCTACTTCTACCCATATTGTATTGTTCCCTGGAGGTGGTAGATTAAGAGTGGAAGTGTATTCAAGGGGAAGGGTGTGCAGAATCAAAAGGAGAGCTGTTTGAAGGTTCCCACCCGTCCACCTTCCCTTCCCCGAGGGCCACAGAGGCAGCTCGCTATTCCACTAAAGAGGGCCAGCTCTGTGGTCTTTGAAGAAGTGTATTTAAGAAACTCAAAAGCCAGCTCCTCAGCATTCTGACAATTCTAAGAAAGCCAGCGCCCCCCACCCCTCATCTCCTATACTTCTCACGAGAGGAAGGGTTTGCTTGGGTTCACTAGGGTAGGGGAAAATGCTGGGGACTGGGGAGAAGAAGAGAAAGTGCATTTTGGGGTTTCTAAGTGAGAGGGGAGGGCAGCAACAAGGAATGCGTTTTGTGACTTGGACCGCGCACAGCGATTCTTCTACAAACAACACAAGATACCAGAATCACGCTTATAAACAGTTTATTAAGTTCATTAGAGTGGGTAAGTTCCCAACTAAATGCACAGATACAAGCGAGGTGCCCCCGGGTCAGTGCAGGAGCTGGCGGGTTACAGGGACCGGGCACGAGGCAAGGAGAGAGCACCAAGCTTTCCGAGTCAGACCCGGCCAGAGTCCCTGAGCGGAGGGTGGGCTCAAGGCCTGCCCCGCACTGACCGCTGCTTCCTCCTCCAGCGGGGCATCCTGCAGGGCGTGTCCTCAACATGGCAGCGTCTCAGTGAGGCCAGGGCGAGAGATGTTAAAGGGAACCCGGGTCCTGGTGCACCGCAACTGCTGCTGCTTTGTAAGTCACGTGCTGGCATATGGACGAGACTTTTAGAATCCTCTGGTAACCACGGGTCAGGGTGGTAACACCTCAGCATTTCTCCCTCAGAGCCTCCTTGCCTGTCTGCATGCCAACCTGAATTCCCATCTTTAGGCCACCCGCCCTGATGGTAAAAGTCTCACATACACCACAAGTCTCTCAGGTGACAAAGCTGTTTCCAAAGCAGCATCTTGTACAGTTTCTGACGTTGAAGAAAGAGTCTCTGGTTAGCTGTCCTCTGGGAAGAGTCAACCACCCCTGACTAATGCCCAGTTGAAGGTATAATTCAGAAGACAGATTTAGGAAGTGGGATATGGATAAAAATAGGAAAACAAACTACCAAAGGCTATCATCTATACAGACTGGGCCAATTAATGACCAGTTCACAGATGGTCTCCCTTGAAGGCTACAGGACTGCTGGTCCCATAATTATCAGAGGCCCTACTGAGCTCAGTCTCTCGGGAGGAGATGCTCAGAGTCTGGCTTAAAGCTGCTCTCGCCCCTGGGAGAAATGCGGACTCGGGGAGCTGCACCACCCACAGCACTCCAGAGGCAAGAAAGGCCTGTCAGGATGGAGAGGGTTCACAGACAGTATTACAATTTTAATTCTGAAGGGCACCTTAAGTTCCATTTGTCACTTTTTAAAATTTATCTGTCAGGAACAGACATAAGGACACTGTACTGGGCATTCAACTTTTTGGCAAAATAGAAACTTTGGTCATAGCCATAGTTCTGTAAAAATGTTTTAAAGAGGCTATTTCTGATTAAAATATTTTTAGCAAGTGATACAAAAACAGTAACAAGAAAGTAAACATCTTCATATCTAATGTAAGAGCAGAAACTCTTTATCCACGTCTTATTTTTAAATACAGCTCAAGAGTCAGTAGTGCTTATAAACAGTAGAAAGTTCTCTTCTAGGGAATCCGAAAAATAGCAAAATAAGGCACAACCTGTTACTGTTACAGATTTGCTTAGGCAGTAGTGTTCTTTCTGTAAGGCACAAACTGGAAATCTGATTACCTAAAGGCTTAGAATGTGGTTCTGAAGATGTCATACGGCAGGGATGGCTAGCTTGGAACAAATTCCCTTAACTGGAATTAACGGCAATTCCTCAGACAACCTTACTTCGAGGTGATGACACTCAGGAAGTTAAGAGACGCTCTTCATCAGCCACTTGGCCATCTGTGAAGGTACAGGGCCGGGCGTGGGCTCGGCGGCCGCACTTCAAGTTCAGAGTGTTTATGACATCACAAAGGCACATGGCCTAGAAATTCAACTTTACAGTAACAAACAGAAACTAATCAGCTTAGACAGAACAGAAGGCGAGCTCGAGAATATAGCGGGTTCTAAGTCAAACGTCTTGAAGAGGTTTCTTGAACGGCAGGCTGGAGCGGCACTGGTTCTTCACGAGGAAATATTCCACACTAAGGGGGAGACACGACAAAGCAGAAGAAACAACAGTTCAGTCTCTCACTGCAAACCCGGAGTTAACAGTGAACGTCACAGTCTAAATGCGCAAGTCAACTAGGCCAACTTCTTACTAGTGGCGTCTCTACGCTTTGCCGAGGGCTTGAGGTCACTGTCAAGAGAAGGGATGGGAAGAACTGCTTTTGCAAATGGTTCCCAGGGCCTGGGCTACAAACATCAATGGCCTGTTCCGGTATCACATATGGTAGCAGGAGTGGTAGTTCGGTACTCAGACTTCTGTGTGCACAGGCATGTCTGTACGGACTGACGTACTTATCCCGCTACTGTCAGTACTACGCACCCAGGACCATGCTATGCACAGTTCGCAGACTGTGCAGCGGTGTCCCCATAGCAAGCGTATGGGTGTTCTATTATCATCCCCACTCTCCAAGTGAAGAAACTGAGGACCAGGGACATTAAGTTGCTTGCCCAAGGCTGCACAGCTGGACGGGACCGGAGCCACAGGGGACAGGCAGTCATACTTGTAATCAATAGACAAGACTGTTCCTCGTACGAGGAAGTATCGGATGAAAATGTACTCGGAGTGAAAACAGATGAGGCAGTGGAAATGAACACACTTTTCTCTGACTTCAAAGGATCAATGTGTATATTTAAAAAACCCTTGGATTTTAATGAAATAATCAAGTACTTAAAACATTTACTGAAGAGGGGCGCCTGGGTGGCTCAGTGGGTTAAGCCTCTGCCTTCAGCTCAGGTCATGATCTCAGGGTCCTGGTATCGAGCCCCACATCGGGCTCTGTGCTGGGCGGGGAGCCTGCTTCCCCCTCTCTCTCTGCCTGCCTCTCTGCCTACTTGTGATCTCTCTCTCTCTCTCTCTCTCTCGGTCAAATAAATAAATCTTAAAGAAAAAATCTACTGAAGAAAATGAAAATCTTTGGAGTGAACTAGTAATTCTGAGGGAACTTTTTATTCCAAGTGCTTGTATGTGACATCAGCTGTGACCACACTGAGAAGACCTGAACAGTGGATTTCGGCCAGGAGAACTCACCGATGATGATGATGATGACGACGACCACGACGACAATCCCTATGGCCCACATCTGCGACAAAACAGAGACCATCTCACATTTCCAAACGCACAGATGAGTGTGCTCACTGAAGAGTGTAATATTCTAGTCACGGACCGAGAAGTTAAGGTACACTATAATCTGAAATAATTCAGTTTTTAAAGCCTAAATTTGCTGTTCTCAATTATAGTATGAAGTTATTTATCTGCCTTTTAGAAGATGGTCCAATGATTTGTGGTCCCTAGGAAGGCATCTGCATGGGCTACCTAAGCCCGTCCTGTGCATCAGGGAGTGTCACTCGTGTGCCCTAAGGGGCTAGATACATCTGGGCTGCAGCAGGTGTTAAGGTCTGCTCTGGGGTGCGCTGCTGGGGGGCTGCTTTCTGCACTTCTGTGGAGCACAGTGGCTTTCAAGCCCCCCTATCCTGTGCCACTGGAGCCTTTCACTGAACCACAGGCCAGTGGGCTGCCAACCCCAGCCCTTTCCTGCCACTGTATGTGCAGGGCTTTGCAGGGGTGGAGACGTGGAAGGGCCTTGGTGGGCTGGTGACCCGATTTTGGACATTCCTGTTCTATACGCTTCTTAAGGTCAGCCATGGCTCACGGAGCATTCCTAGCTGAGGGCACGGGAAAAGGGCATGCGGTCAGGGCTCGAGACTCAGAGTCAAGCCAGAGTTCCACATACGGGACATCAAACTCCTCTCCAATACCTGCAGCCCCTGCAGACCCTCTGAGAACGGAGGGTGACTCATGTAAAAACAGGTGAAAGAAAAGTACCTTGCAGTTCTTCCACCAGTATTTTCTCTTCAACTTGGCGGCGCTCGTTTCAAACTGGGATGCTCCTGCCTGTAGCGCGTCTGCGCGGTCATCTAACTCCGACAGCTTCTGGTCTCTTTCCAACACCTTGTCCACGTTGACTCTCATGATGTCCACCACCTGAGCGGACGCGAGCACGCCGAGTTACGGAGAGAGGGAGGAAAAAACAAGCAGAACTCTTAGTGAAGTAAAAGGGCTCATTTCCCTTCAGGTCAGCACTTGATTATTCTGAGCCACACTGTCATTTAAAAAGGAAGGAGCAAGGAGTGGCTCACTCTTTCATGAGGAAAACACCTGGCAAACTAGAAACAGAAGGGCACTTCCCTAACATGACAAAGAGCATTTATGGAAAAACCCTCAAGTAACACCCAGGCTCAGTGGTGAAAGACAGAGAATTTCTCCCCAACACCAGGAACAAGCAAGGACGCCCACGTTCACGAAAGCCGTTCAACACTCTCCTGGAAGTTCTGGCCGGAGCAATCAGGCAAGGAAAGAACAAAAGACATCCAAATTGGAAAGAAAAAAGTAAAGTGATAGCCATTTGCAGATGATTCCATATACGGAAAATCCTGAAGAATCCACACACTACTGGAGTCAATAAACACGCTCAGTAAAGGCTCAGGGTACAAGACCAGCACCCCAAAATCATAATGTTTCCATATAAGATAAATGAAAAGGAAATTAAAAAAAATTCCATATACAGTAGCATCTGAAAGAATAGTAGGGGATAAACTGAACCAAGGAAGTGGAAGATTTGTGCCCTGAAAATGAACTACAAGACACCGCGGAAAGGAGTCAAAGACGTAATTAAATGGGAAGATGTTACGAGTTCACAGATGGGAACACTTACTGTTAAGATGGCAAGATGCCTCAAAGCACTGTACAGATATACAGATTCAACGCAATCTCTATTCAAATTCCACTGTCCTTCCCCCACTACCATCCCCTCCCAGAAACAGAAAACCCAGTCCTTAAATTTTTATGGAATTACAAGGGGTCTGAATAGGCAAAACAGTACTGAAAAAGAAAATGTTGGAAGACTCAGACTTTCCAGTATCAAAACCTTACAACAAAGCTACAGTAATCAAAGTAGTGTGATTCTAGCATAAGGACGGACATACGGACTGAGGAGCCAGAAATTAACTCAAACTTCTATGGCCAAATGATTTTTGACAGAACTGTCAAATCTCTCAGTGAGGAGGAAGATGGTCTCTTCAGCAAATGGTGCTAGGACAATGGGACAGCCGTATGCAAAAGAACGAAGCTGGACCTTTACACCTCACCCTATATATAAAAATTAGCTCAAAATGGATTGATGACCTAAGTATAAGAGCTAAAAACTATAAAACTCTTAGAAGAAAACTTAAGAGCAAACATTCCTAACTTCCAATTTGGCCATGGATTTGACACCAAATCAAGAACAACGAAAGACAAAATAAACTGAACTTTAAAAAAATTAAAACCTTTTGTGCAAAAGACGTTCTCAAGGATGTGAAAAGACAATCTACAGAATAGAAGAAACTATTTGCAAATCATTTATCTAAGAAGGGTTTAATATCCAGAATATATATATACACATATATTTGGAACTCTTGCTCCCCAACAAGGAGAGAAACAACCCAATAAAAAGAGCCAGGCAACAGACTTGACTAGACACTTCTACAAAGAACGTATACAAATGATCAACGAGCACATGAAAAGATATTCGACACCGCTGGTCACTGAAGAAATGCAAAGCAAAACCACAATGAAATACTTCATATTCACTAAGGAGGACAGCTACACTCAGAGAAAACAGAAACTAACAAGTGTTGGTGAGGAAGTGGAGAAGCAGGGCCCCCGGACACTGCTGGAGGGAAGGCAGGCTGCAGCGGCCACTGTGGACAGGCTTGGCAGATCCTCAAAAAGTGAAGCACAAGATTACCACGTAATCCAGCACTCCTGCTTCTAGATACATATCCAAGAGAAATGAAAACATACAGCCACACAGAAATTTGTCTATGAATGTTTGCAGCAGTATTATTCATGATAACTAAAAGGTGGAAACTCAAAAACCCCTCCACAGATGAATGGAAAAACAAATTCTGTACACACACACCACGGAACACCACTCAGCCCTAAAAAGGAAGGAGGTACTTACAGATGCTGCAACGGGAACCAACAGCAAAAACATCATGCTGAGTGAAAGAAGCCAAACCCAAAAGGCCACATGGGGCATGAACCCCTTTATCGGAAACAGCCACAACAGGCAAATCTATAGCAACAGAAAGCCGACTACCGGTTACCAGAACGGGAGAAAAGGGGAATGGCAAGTGAGGACTGCACATGTCCAGGGTGTTCTTCGGGGGGAAGCAAAAGTAGTGAACGCAGACAGAGGTTAATGGCTGCACAACACTGTGAGTACACTGAACTCCCCTGGCTGATGGCTAATTGTATGTTATGTAAATTTCACCTCAATTAAAAAAAAAAAAAAACAACAAAATACCCCCACCTCTCCTTAAAATTCCTTTGGTTAAGAAAAAGGGGGCGCCTGGGTGGCTCAGTGGGTTAAAGCCTCTGCCTTCAGCTCGGGTCATGATCCCAGGGTCCTGGGATCGAGGCCCGCATCAGGCTCTCTGCTCAGCGGGGAGCCTGCATCCTCCTCTCTCTCTGCCTGCCTGTCTGCCTACTTGTGATCTCTCTGTCAAATAAATAAATAAATAAAATCTTAAAAAAAAAAAAAAAGAAAGAAAAAGGACCCAGGGGTGCCTGGATGGCTCAGTGGGTTAAAGCCTCTGCCTTTGGTTCAGGTCATGATCCCAGGGTCCTGGGATCGAGCCCCGCATCGGGCTCTCTGCTCAGCAGGGAGCCTGCTTCCTCCTCTCTCTCTGCCTGCCTCTCTGCCTAGTTGTTATCTCTGTCTGTCAAATAAATAAAATCTTAAAAAAAAAAAAAAAAAAGAAAAAGAAAAAGGACCCAGTTTGATTTTTTAAGTAAAAGAAAGTTTCATCCAGTTAGAATGGTAAGATGGGTAAGAATACCACGGAAATGTACAAGTTTCAGAATTCAGTTCCTAAACAAAACCATCAGACCAGATATTACTAAATGATTTAATAATGCAATCTGACCTAAGTTCGACTCTGCTTTGTAAAGCATCTAAGTGCAGAGAGATCGAGATGTCTCTGTTGCACACTGGCAGCTCTTCGGGCTAGAGTCCCAGTATGAACTGCTCACAGTCTTCCACTGTGGGCCTGCACATACAGAGCAGAAAAAAGATGCTGGAAAAAAGACTCCAGGATTCCACAAATACCGATTTGTCGGGCTAGAGCAGTCTGCCAGCATCTGCCTTCGGTACGTGAATGGGTGACAACTGCAATGGAATTCCAGAGGTTTGCTCAGTCAGTCCTAGTAACCAGTGTGTCAGGCTACTCTAAGAAGCCTTTTGATGAAAAATCGGGTTGGAGGAATTCATCTTGGTTCGAACAACCTATAGACCTAATCCTTAAAACTCTATTACCCTATTTTTTAAAGTGTTTTTTTTTTTTTTTTTTTCATTTTTTTTTAAATTGTGGCAAACTGTATCTTATAAAGTGGTTCCTGGAGGAATGCTCTCAGGAGGAGTGTCTGTGGTTCAGATACAGGATTCGGTCACGGGAAAACAAGCATGACTCCTGGAGACTGACTTCTCAGAAGCTTAACTCGTTTGTTATATTTAAGAAACAGCCAAAATGTCCTTTATACTCATGCTTTTATGATACTTTTTCTAAAAAGAATTCTTTCCAGGGTGTTCCCATGTTGGTTTAAAATTCAGCTTTCAACACTGGAGACCAGTACCTCATCGACTTGATTTTGTGTCTGCTGAAGTCTTCGGCTGCTGCTGGAGGCAGCACTTGAACCTGCAGGGGCACCTGTAGACCTGAAACGTGGAAAGGCACAAGCGTGAGTAAATTCTGATTTCAGATACATTTCTGTAAGGATGAAGACGTTATGCCAAGACCTTGCTGTCAGAAGTTTCATAACTAAAGCAGAAAAGAAATCCTTCCCACAGTAACGAACAAAGGTTCTAATGACATTTCTTCTAATTCCTCTATAATTTCCAAGATTCATCCATATGTGAGAAGTGACCAGAGTCTAAAGTGAAGGTTTAACAAGCTTTACTTTGTAACGCTGAAGCACCTGATGTTAATATCAGGGATCCTAAGAGAGGGAAACTCTACCTTTTTATTGTTTAAAGGCACACATCTGCTTAAATGCACTCAGTATGCTTCTCTCTTTGTGGCAAGAATTGTTTTCATACTTATGAACAATTACAAAATGCCACTTTTCCACTATGGAGAAATATATTCATTTACAGAAACAGGATCAGGAACATCAAGATGGAGGGAGGAGGGGTGGTGTGAGTGGGAAAGGTGAGATGCGGTGCCTCCTCTCTTAAAAGGTTCCCCTCTTTTCAAATCCTCACTGAATGCCTGTTTCTCCCCAGGCAGATCTTCCTTGACCACTGTGGCTCTGAAATCCTTATTGCTTCCATTACTTGGTTGGCTACACTTTGATTTTTCACACACACACACACACACACACACACGCACACACAGTCAACCCTTGAACAAGGTGGGGTTTGGGGGCGCCAACCCCTTTCCCCACCCCACAACTGAAAATCTGCACGTAATTTTTGACTCCTCCAAAATGTAACTACTGACAGCCTACTGTTGACCAGAGGCTTTACCAAGAACATAAACAGTCAATTTACACGTATTTTGTATGTTGTATGTATTATACACTGTGTTCTTACAATAAAGTAAGGTTGAGAAAAACTTAAGAAAATCGTTAAGACAGAGAAAACACAGTAACTGTAGTGTTCTGTATTTATCGGAAAAAAACCCACGTGTAATTCACACCCACGTTGTTCAAGGGTCATCGGAACGTCTCGCCTTCCCTAGTAGATCAGACTCCTGTGTCTTAGACGGCTCTTCCCTGTACCCAAGACAGCACCAAGCAGCGTCTTGCATACACCAGCTACTGATGCATCCACTGATTCAAGTTTCTTTTATACCTACCATGTGTCACAGACCAGGGATGTAGCAGGTCCCACGCCTGCCCTTACACTTAATTTTATTCTCCGATAGTAACAGTGAAGAACCATGTACTGGTACCTCCTCTTCAAGCGTTTTCTCACTTAATCCTTATTAACTCTTTGAAGGGGGTACTACTATTAGCCCCATCTTAGGGAAGCCTAAAGTGGGGTTTAGAAAGCCAACACGGCTGGTTGCACTGGAGCCTGTCTCTAGACCAGGTCCCATATGATTCTACGGATCTAGACCTTAACCACCGTTGACTTCCCGGCACAGCAGCCTCAGCAGGTACACTCCAGAGTGGTGGCCCTAGCTCCTAGGAGGAACCCGGGGAAAGCACCCATTCCTTCCTCCTCCGTAGGTGAGCCATGACAGGCTGGAGGGGCACAGAGGGTCCGTGGGACTCTTGACAGAATATTACCACGGGAAACTCCCATGTTTCAGGGGCCACTACAAGATGGCTTCTGCCTAAAGAGGGAAGGTCTACAGCTCTGCTCCTGACTCCACTCTGACCACTGCTGCCTCTACACACAGGGCCGAGGTCCTTTCCCTCGCAACTTCCGGAGCCCAGCCCAGCACCGGGCGGCGAACGGGCGCTCCAAGTCTAGGGCAGGGGCCACCGCTCCTCTGGGGAGCCTCGGGCCCGGGGGGTTAGGGGAAGGGGAGAAGGGGTGGGATCCAGGTAGGGGCAGGGGAGGGAGGGGGCGTTTCCTAGCTCGGGGAATCCCCCGGCAGCCCCGCCCCCGCCTCTTCCGCTACCGGCCGACCGCCGAAGGGCTGCGAGCTGCGCCGCGGGGCAGGCTCCGCCCGCCTGCAGCCCGTATCCTCGGGGCCGCAGCCCATCCCTGGGCCTCCGGAGCCACCGCGCAGGCCCGCGTCCGAGCGGCTGAAGGGGGCGGGAGGAGGGGGGGTAACCGAGCCGGGGGAGGACCCCAGCCGCGGGTCACCGTCTCCCGGAGTCCGAAGCCGCCCCGCGTCTCGCCGCGTCACTCACATTTTGGTGGCGGCGGGCGACGGTCAGCAGAGCGGCGCAGCGGGACCGAAGGCCGGGAGCTGGGCGGGGCGGCGGCGCGGGGAAGATGACGTCGCCGGGCGCGGCCGCGGAGGGGCGCGCCGGAAGGGGGCGGGGCGCCTCGGGGCGGGGCCCCCCGAGAGCGCGGGGGACGGGGGGGCAGGGCGGGGCGCGAGCTGACTGCGGGAGGCGGTGCGCCTTGCGCGTTAGGCACGGTGAGGAGACTGTGTGGGTGAATGGGGGCGGGGGCCATTTCCCTGGCCGTGACAGTACAGGGGACCCACTGTGTGCTTCTGCTGGACGTCCCGCGTTAACCCGGAGGTCCTGGAGACCCCCGTTTCCCCGGGAAACTGGTTAAAATAAGATCGGAAGGCCCTTTGGGTGTATTTATCACAGGCGTCGGTAGGGTTAGACTCCCTCTCTTCGTGTGCTCGTGGGTGACTCGTCTGTCACTGCACAGGCCGTACTACAGTCTGTTTACGGGAGCCTGGCCTTGAGGGGCTGTGTTTCGTTTCTGTATTTCTGCATTCCTGGGCCCCGGCACAGAGGAGGTCCTCAACTTCTGGTCGGCTGCGGGCGGAGGCACAGATCCAAATGCAGTGAGTTACTTTGTCGTATATTTAAAGTTGTTACTGGGAGGATTCCTACCAACGTAGACAGCGCCTACCTTAAAACAAAAAACAAAAACAAAAAAACCCCATAACACTGCAGAACGCTGCCAGGTCAACCGGCAGATGAGATGAGAAATGAAAACTAAAATCCTTAAATCCCGAACTGTCTTTTCCCACTGTCGATGTAATAATTTGAAAAGGGAGATGTTAGTGTGTATTAGAAAAAACAAGAGTGTCACGGAGGAGGTGGGATTTGAGTTGGGTAAGTAGGAAGAAAACTCTCCAGGCAAGGGATGAACAAACATGACCAAGGACAGCAGCAGAAATGGACATGGTTTGCACCGCCCGACCAGAAGGGGCAGGTTGGGGTACAGGTGAAAAGAAGACAGAATAAAGAGTGAGGATAAGCAAGAAAAGAGAATGTCACTTAAATGCAGTGGGCTTTAGAAACCACCGGGGCCTGGCGGAGTTGGGAGATACCCTGCCGACTGGGTCTGGTGGGAGCATCCACACCAGCCTCCGTGGAAGAGGGACTACCAGGGAGACGAGATGACACTCTGCAGTGAAAGGAAAGGAGATGATGACAGAATTCTCAGAAGAGAAGATGCGTATTAGTAGTCAGCTGGAAAATGCCTTTTCAAAAGCAGCAGAGGGTTTTCGCGGCAGTGGTGAATTTAGATTGGCATCTCTATGTTTCAAATAACTGGTATGTTGAGCAGTGCCTGAGAAGACGGTTGAGAAAAGCAAGTGTTCTAGGGGCAGTGGCTTACTAAGACATTTTTCTCTTATGGACACGTCTGAAGCTCTGTAATAGCTGATGACAAAACACTGTCTCTAGATCTAAGGAAATCCATGAAAGTGATCTCGTCTGGGTTTGAAACAGGCTGGTCACCCCGGATTTCAGTATCAGGTAAAGTTAAAGCAAAGCACACACATAGTATGGGGAAATTTTCTTCATTTTTAATTTACAGCAGAAAGAATATAAAGCATTCAGAAAACATTTTCCATATTTTAAGGGCAATTCAAAACATTTTGCATGGTTTCCAGCAGCTGAGTTCTTCAACAGATCCATTGATTCAATGATGCTTCACATGCACAATTACAAAAATAAAACTTACAAAAAAGAAGACATCTAGACTAGTTTTACATGCAAGTCTCAGGGACCCCCCATTGGGCGCCAACTACTGTGTGGAACTGCCATAAGCGACCGTGCAGCCAGAGAGGGGTTCGGTTTATTGTCTTTATTTTCGTTCACACAGTACAGCTGATTTCAAATGGGTAACAAGAATAGCAATTAAATCTTCAGGAGACAGAATAAGATTAGCTATTAATTTTATAATGAAGTCCTACTCCTGGCACTTGGGAATTCAGATTATCCAAGAAAGCTGCGCTTACCTATCATCTTATATTCAAAATTAAGATTCACAACCAAGGAAAAGCGGTCAGAAATGCTTCGTTTCAGTGGAAGTGCATTCGTACCTCACCTACGATTCACAGTTGTACTGGTGGGCTACACCGGTAGGTTTTGAACCTACTTCCTATCCCCTCCGTAAGAACCCTCCTAATTCTATGTTAAGTCTTTATCTTCCAGAAGTTTCTAACTTACTCGGCTAATAATGTAGCATGGAAGACATTAAAAAAATAAATGAATGAATAAACAAACGTGAGGGTTAAAGCAAATCCACTGAGGTCATTACTCTTGTCAAAAGATCAGTTATTTGTACCATAATAAATGGAATAAACGTATCTAATTTCAGTTCTAATATGGGATATTCTGAAAGAGCTGGCTTTCACCTTCCTATTCCCATTTATGGATACAATTGTGTGTTTTGTAAATTACTCAGTGTCCTCCTACAGGTCAAATCCTTTAAAATAATAGGTATTTGGGGTGGGGGGGGAGTGCAACAGCTGCAACATAACCCACACATTTAAAAACAAAATCGAGCCAGGTCAGTTTACAAATGTACAGGTGGCTACTGGTTGTGGGGCTGTCACTGTTGTCAAAGCTGATCACAAGCGGTAAGACGTATACTGTACAGTAATCCGAGGTTGGCAGTGAAAGGAAGTAATTAAAAAACAAGTACAATTATAGAAAAGGCACCAAGAGCACTGACCCCAGTTTTCACCACAATCTTTTTGTATCTACCTTCCTTCTAAAGACACCAGTTTAAAAGCTTATTTGTGAATATTTTTAGGCTTCACAACGAGCCTTAAGTTTTTAACTTACAGTTGGCAGCCAGAACCAAGAAAAAGAAAACAAAACAAAAACTATCACTTCAGCTTCACACCAACTGATCCTGAAACTTTACCTGGGAATTTTAAACTGGCATCAGCAAATTCGAACTTTATTCTCTCAATTTAACGTTAGTAGTTTAATTTTTAAAAGCATCAGATTTCTTTGGCTCCTCGTTATATGGAAAGAGTAACAGACCATGACAACCCTTTTAAATTTTGTTATTTTTTGTGCAATTTTTGTTCCATTTTCTGATTTCCAGCAGGAGATATGAAAAACGTGAGACGTTTTCCTACTTGTCATACCATTTCTTTTGTCAGGTTTTGATCGTTCTAAGTGTTCTTTGTTGGAATGAGTGGATGGTGTTAAGCTATATACGGATTCATCTTATGATTATCTGTTTAGCAAAAGTAACTTAATTTTCTTAAGCAATATTAGCATTCACATTACTTGGCACCGTTGGCAAAAAAATTTTAAATTAAATAAAATAAACTCCTGGTAGCCAAAATTAAATGTAAACATATCCTTTTTTTTTTTAAGTAATGTTACTCTGCCTTTTATCCTAAGTCTAAATACAGTAGCTCTTTTTTTGTTGTTGTTTTTTGTTTTTTGCAGCTTAGTCATGCTTTAGCAAAATGTTCTTCTAAAGAACATTTAAAATAAAGTACTCTTATAGTGAAATAAAGTTTTTTTTGTTTCATTTTACAGACCATAGCCACTAATGCTTTGCTTTTGTTCATTTCTTTTTTCTTGATTTCATGCACATATCTCTTTGTTTTAATATATACAATATATACAAACAATACATCCACATTTTTCTCGCTCGTTCAGACAAAACTATACAAATAATTTTATCTTGCCATGTTATTGACCTTTGTGAATAAAATATTTAGCAATTAATATAATCCCTTTCAAATATTTTCTCACTTTCCGATTCTACCTTTTATATATACACAGAAACTGCTCAGTTTGGATGAGATTATAGCCAAAAATATGGAATTTACTGGCCAGAACGCAGCACCACACTGATCTTTTAGGTGGCAAATGTCCAGGCAAGGTTTATGATTCCTTAGAATGACTACAGTTTCCAAGGTTACTAAAAAAAGCTCCATGCTGTACCAATTCTCTAAGTAAATCTCATTGCACATGAAAGTAAGGCCCAAAAATTAAAGTGCTGAGCATGACAAAAGGGACAAGATGATCACTATACTCGCAGGTTCTTGGGAGGTGGTGGGGACAAGAAAATAAATTTAAACTCTGTAAGCTGTTTCTCATTAGTTCCCATGCATTACCCGTTTACCACACACCCGCCCCTCTGCAAATTTCCACAAGACATTAAAAACCTGCAGATTTTAAAAGTTGCATTAAGTGTGCTGTAGAGATTAAAACAAACATAAATTAAAATAAAATAAGATCAGTGAAGGAAATGAGAACACACGGACCCAATAAAGATTTGTATGATCTAAGCCCTCCACTGAGAATCAATCCCAAAGATTCAGCTTCTTGGAAGTAACTGACAGGTGCAGGAGCAGCATTCTCTTTTGTTGCTAGTGCATCCCCACCTTTGCTTGTCTATATTTTTGGTATAAATATTTGTACAGTTCCACACGATGTTTGAATACAGCCCTATATGAGAAGGAAACCGGCTTCTTCCTAAGAAGAGGAAGCCTCTTTCAATTCCTCGTGGTGTCTTGTTTTCCCATGATCCAACAGAAGATTGAGTTCCAAGATGTCTTGCTGATCAAATTAAAAGTTGTCCATGAAAGTGCAAATGCAATGACCAACACATTCCTGTTAAAATCCTGCAGCTGATCTCCCCAAAACTGCAGAGGGATTGTGTGTGTGTGTGCGTGTGTGTGCGTGCGTGTGTGTGTCGTTGCATGTCTCTGCTAAAAACAGAAATGAAAACAGTCTGAAAAGCAATGTCACATTGCTAAGGGATGCTGCTGTATGTCTTCAAGTTCCTTGGCCTTTCTCAACTCTTTCACTCTGGAAGAGAAACAGAACAGAACACCAGGTGATAGCTATATAGCGAAACCGTGGCCGGATGAGGGGAAGGGCAGGACCATTCCCTCCGAAGTGAAAACCAAGACAAAAACCCTTTGGAAGACTGATGGCAAAAGAAACTCCTGCTAAGTTGCTGGGGGAAATACTCAAGAGAAAGACACGTCCCTTCCTGAAACTCTGCTCTGTAGCAAGTGCTGTCAACACAAAGCAAAACGGAAGTCGACTGCCTTAAGTCACGTGTGACGGTAACGTGCTCATCTTAGGAAAAGTTAACTGTTCGCCTAGCTTTCCTTTGTAGCCTGTTGGGACCACCATGAATGCCCAGCAGTCCCACGAGAGGCACGTTAGGGAAACTGCACACACACTTGCTTCGCTTCTGACACTCCTGGGGAATGAACTCCTTTGCTCACAGACTCAAGACGAAGGTACCTTGCAGCCCGTCGGACCTGCACGGCCCTACCACTGCGCTCCTGCACTGTGCAGTCCTTCTGAGTCTCCTTATTCCTTACCTTCCTCCCATTCCACACTGTAACTTTCTAAGATGTTCGGGTCACTTCCCCCCATGCTCCCAGATGGACAGCAACAGGGGGCGTACCACTGTGTTCTATTTATCAAACATGTTGTAGTGAACAAATTTAAATGAAATGGTTGTCCACAGAGTCATGGGAAGTTCACATCAGCAAATTGTGTGTTACCGATCCCCTCTGGTCTATAGTTTTCAATATAAAACTTTGTCTTGGGTTTTGAATATGGCCACCGGACGTAGGTGGGGTGCCCGGGAAGGGGTTGTGAGCTAGATTATTTCCTTTTAGTGACAAATAATTGAGATCTTGCCTTAACAGCAAAATGATCAAATGCAAGTGTGACTTCAGGGTCTGAGTCCCGAAGGCAGCACGTGCGGTGCACGGCAGGCAGCGTGAGCTCTGCGGACCCTGTGATAACATTTGTTTCCTAAAACAGGTGTGGGAGGATGGGTTCAGCAAACAGAAGCTGCTGTTTCTCAGGACACAGATACCCTATACCTCAACAGCGCGATAAGAAAAAGGCTCTTCTGTTTTTCTCCTGGGGGCCTATAGAGAGGTCAGTAATCCCCAAACACAGTTTTCTGATTCTCCAAGGCTAAGGTTTCTGCTGTTATCTTTTAAGTGATACCGGTCAATTCAGATTCTATCTTAAAACAAATGCCAGTTTACTTTCTAAATAGATTCTTGTTAACACTCGGGGGGGGAAGAAAACATTTTGAAAAGCAGTAGGAAGTTGTTGTTAATATCTGGGATTCAATGGCCTGACACATACGCTATTATAGCAGTTGAAGAAAACAATATATTTACCACCTCCAAGCAGAATCATTTCTGAGTATTCTGCAAAGTTGATACAATCTCTTCAGAGAGAAGTTGCTCTCTTTCAGAAAAAAAAAAAGCTTTATTATTTTATCATCGTGAATACTGAAAATAATTATGATGTTTTTGCCTGATTTATTCACTAAATACACCAGGTCCAGCTTGATCAACAGTGTATCTTCAAAACTGTTAAATCCCTCCTCCTCAGCAGGTGCGTTTAGAACACGTTGACATTGCTCTGTCCACAACTGGACCCGGGTATTGTTTAGTTTCAAATTTTGTAATTAAATATACCATGGATTATTAAGTTTCAGGGTAATTTGGATCATATTACAGTGCAGAATTGTGCATCATTATTGGTCCCTAATTTTGGACATGCAGACTTGATAAATAAATGGCTTTTTAAAAATTGAAACATGCTATATTGTGTGTTCAATTTTTAAACATGCAAAATCTATACTAACAGCCCTCTGGCTGGAAAAATGCAAGGCATGCACCGATGCCACCTCTACTTCTGGGCATGCAAATATCTGTACTTGTGCAGAGCTTGTTGCGAATCCCGCAAAATGTGCATGCCACTTCAAAGACAACATTTTATTTCTGCACCAGTACAGAACTCATTCACAGATATGCAACAGTGACTCCATCACTGATGAGACTTCTAGAACCTGAAGAACCCTGAACTCAAAACCTGACAGCATAAACACAGATATCCATCCACAGTTTTTCGAGAGTGAAGAGGAATGCTTTAAAAATATTAAGTTCATCATCGAGATGAAAGAAGAAAGAGAGTGAACTGTAAACCAGAGATGTTTCATACAGTCTCATACCAAAGAAGCTATCATCTGCTGATCACAGTGGGTAAACCTTGAACATTTTTCTTTTAGTTAAAATGGTAACAGTAGTTTTTGCAGTTTTTGGTTTTGTTTTTGCAATTTCTTTTGAAACTAATTAAAAAGTTAAGTAAGTTTTCATGAGGTTTTGAAGTCACCATGTAAATATTCTGCTATGAACTAGCAATAGATAGCCTCACATGGCTCTAGGTCAAGGCGAGATGCATGCCCACACACAGAGGTGGCGATGATCGTATACACTGGAAAAAGGAGATGCCCTGATTTCTAGGATTTCATCACCCCCGAGCTATGGTGGAGAACTTGGTTCTCAGTTTCATGATGAAGTTTTTACAGTACGTCAGCATGATAAATGATACCCAAATGGCTTCAGTGGCATATGCTTTTTTTTTTTTTTTTTAATCAGATGTTCAAGGAGGAGATCGTGGAAGAGGAAGAGAAGGCTTCTGTTCCAATGGCTGTACGGGCTAAGTATTCGTTACCTCGTTTAGTCCTCCCGACACATTCCCATTCTCTCCAATTCATAAATGCAGAACCTGAGATTTATAGCAATGAAGCAACGTGCCCCAGGTAATACAGTTAGCAAGTGGCAGAGTGGGGAATTGAGCCCAGGCCTGTCTGACTTCACCTCTCTACCCCGCTGCCTCCAATATAAGGTCAGGAGAACAAAACAATGGGAAAAAAAAAAAAAAACCCAGTTACGGTATTGGTTTTTCCAAAGGCATTTGGACAATCTCTGTGGCATGAGAGGAGTACAGTATTGAAAACTGATAACACTTAATACCTTTATTCCTAACAACTACGTTTCCTCAACTCTGAGATGCTGTCCTTTATGAGACCTTATGCTGATTTTACTACAGTGTTTGGGAGAACAAAAATTCCTACACTTAAAATGCACTTAACAATTTTATAAAGATGGACCAGAGGTCTGAAAATAGTGGGAATAAGAATCAAGGGAAGGGAAGCATTTTATCCTCCTCCAATTTCTAATCAGCAGACTACGCGGATGTCAATTTCTCTCTCGAGGTTTAGATGAAACTGAGAGACCTTCATAATCTGTCCTACTGAAGTCACAAATGGAGGTCTAATTTACCGGAGGGCACATTATTAGGACAGACTACAGGTGCCTAATTTTTTATTTTGTTTTGTTTAATATCAAATGTCAATTGGACAGAAAGTAATGCTTGACTGGTATATTATTGCTAAAGAAACAGAACAATTAACTCTATCACCGAGGTAACTTAGAACATTTGATACTCGAATTTTTCTTCACAAATCTTAAAAAACAGATGTTTCAAATAGTTACAGAAATTTGTGGTTGCCTTATCTCTGCCAGGACATGAATTGCCACTAAAAGGCCCATGTTGACTACACGTACATCTACCACAAAAGGTCATAAAAGTTTAGGTGTTATTACCTGTGGGTTTTTCTCCTTGTTACTTATATTTCTAAAATGTGCTACAAGGAGTATACTTCTGTAATAATTATTCCTGCTTGTCATTCTCAGAAAAAAAAAAAAGAGTTTACGTTTTTCTATCCATCTTTTACTACAATGACATCTCACAAATGTTGCAATCACATGACACAAAACACCCGACTGAAAAATTCAGTGGAGAAAAAAAAAATTATTTTATGGTCCCAAACCAACATCAACGGACTTAACCGCTGTTGATACTACCTGTATTAAGAGCCTACTGTTCTCAGAACACTTACTGGCAAACAGAGACCAGAATTTTTGAAGCTGGAATTATACTTGAAAATCCAGTCACCGTATTCATAGAACTAGAATACAGATGTTTGATAGACTTCCGTCGCGTGGTGCGTGCTATCTACAGGCAGCTAATGCTTACTGAGGTTTTGGCTCTCCACAGGAGTTATACCTGCGAGATTCACTCAGGGCCAAGAGAGAACCTAACCTAAGGATGTCCTGGTCATCTAAAAACAAACCTCGCTATAATTACACTTGCTTCTGAACTTCACCCCGCAGAAGACAGGCAAAGCAGCCTTCCGTGGGATGGGACAGACAGTTAACCGGGACAGAGACTACAACTTCTGTAGCTCGATGGCTCTCGCTACCGTACGGAGAGCTGCAAGGAGAACGTTTCTCAGCCTCTGGTCAGTACCGTGGAAAACGGTACTCCTAGGACTGGCTTGGAGTTGAGGTAATTAGGACAGCAAGACTTTGACCTGTGACCATTCAACAGGGATGGGAGACAACCCCAGGACTTGCCCGAGCGTTCTAGGCTGAAAAGAATCACCACCTTGGGATACGGTTGCAGTCTTAACAATAAGAAAAACAAAACAAAACAAAACACCAACCCCCAAAAAAACCACCAACCCCCAAAAAAAACAAAGAAAAAACAACAACAACAAAAAAAACAAATGTTGCATTCTAATGTACCGAAGTGATGTAGTAAGCAACAGCACTGAAAGCCAGCAAAGCCCACAGGGTTTATTCCCGTCAGACGTCCAATGAGAATTCATGAACACATGGAGTGGGTCTGCTTCCGAACTTGTAGCAAACAATGGCTCCGTGGGTAAAGCATAAGGCAAAGCGGCTTCATTCCATCTACTCAGGAACGCTCAGCCAGAGAAATGTTTCATGAGTCAGTGGATTTCAGCAGGTATATTCTTGCAATGCTGGACGTCAAAAATATACAGGGCAGCCAGATGCGGCTTTCTGATGAGTTACCTGTTGCTCTGAGAGCTGCAATAGCTCGTGGGGAATTTAGGAAAAGAGAGATCTTGCCATTTTCCAGAAATCTCATTTGGATTGCAAAACAAAAAAGACAGAGAGGCCCAATAAGAATGACACAGAGCATGTTGTCTGCAATTTAACACACACCACTGTGTTCCAAAAATATTCATTTCCTAAAAGAGGCAAGTAAGACAAAATTACTTTGGATATTTGAATTACATCCATGAAGACACATCCCACACATTCATTTCCTACTCCGCACAAGACATACCGGGCCGCTTGGGAACTACGCCTCATGTCTTATCTAACTAAGGAAGCGTGATGTCACCGTGCTTGACCTAGAGCACTGCCTACTTCTCTCCAATAACCAGGAGCCTTCCAGGCATCGTCAGAGAATCATCCCTTGGATTAAAGTATATACCACAAAGCAGAAAGTGTCAAGTGTAACCTGCAGATCTTGACAATGACCCACTGAAGAGATTTCACAGGATGGCTCTCAAGAGTCAGCACCGAAATCACTACTTACCCAGAAAACTGGCACCATCTGGCAAAGTCAAGAGTTTGGAAACCCAGTTGTCAAATGCAGAGAAAATCCCTTGCTTAAAATTTTGTGGCCAGAAAGTGTTACCTCTTCTTCCTCCAATTAAGGTTCTTTTAATTAAGTTGTGTAGCTCTGCCCACCTTTACTGAACACAGGTACTAGGCCAGCAACTCACTAAGACAAGTTACTGGAAAACCAGAGTTCCCACTGTGTAGGACAGTGTTTGCAGTGACTATTCTAGGTGGTAAAGCCCTCACAGAAGTATCATCCCAGGGAAAAAAAGGAATTTATCTAGGAATAGCTTCTCAAAGAGTCGTCTCCTCTGATCTGTGAGAACACTTCCTGTTACCCACAAAAAACTATCTTAGAGAGAAGTGGAAAGCCATTTTCTAGCTAGAAAAAGAGGGACTGCCCTGTTTAGTCTCAGGACCTGGAGGATACATCTGTCAGGTAATTCCGGTATTTGTTATTTCTTGACATACGAGGTGCTTTGGGTTTTCTGCTAGGACACTAAATAACACCCTGTTTGATATATTCGAAACCCCGCTGGAAAGGAGTGTTTTCAGCAATGTGTGCCCTCAAAGACTTCCTCAATCTCAGAAATCCTCCAGTCTCTCTTTTTTTGAAAGTAGAATTCCTAAATTAACTGAAATAATAATTAAGACCATTCATTTAAATATTTCTCTGTGCCTAACTAAAGTTTTCTCTTAAGTGGACGGCTATTGTGTCCAAGACAAAACAAATCCCTACAAGAGCTACTGAGAATTTGGAAACTGTTTTAAGTTAGTAAACTAGGGGCTAAGCCTTGATGAAAGGCTGGGCGAAAATGAGCTCATGCAGTGGACGGGATCTGGGGTTTTTTCTTAGCCTCCCCCTTTAGTATTAGTAAATACTAAAAACTGGAAGACAGTGGTATTTTCTCATTGCTGTGCTCCTGGAATTAACCTATTGTGCCTTCATTATGATGACCGACATCACCTGCCTTTCTAGACAGCCTCTGCTCCATCCCTCCAGGAGGCAGAATTCAATAGTGTCTGGCAAGCACTGTGCCACAAAATTTAATTCCTTTAGTTTTCAAGTATTATCTTTTGATGTATCAACCTTAAACGTCTTAAGTGTGGTCCACATCGTAAATGAGTAAGTGTATTAACTTCTTTGACATAAATTCCAGGAATAAGAACTCTCCTCCGAGAATGTTCTGCCTCCGGAGAGTCATTGCAACCTGAGGACTGTTGGAGGGAGCGCCCCTGTGACTTCTCTGACAGAACAGAGAGCGAGCGAGATCCTGCTGGTAATTAGAGCCACAGGGAGAGAAACAGGACCACTCCAGGGTGAACCTGAGCTTCTCAGCTCCTAGCTCGGCTCCTAGCTCGGCTCCTAGCTTCCCATGCCCGGGGAGGAGTTTTAGGAGCTCACGACAGAATGCAGCAGGTGCTGAAGGAGCTAAGGTAGAGACTGTGGTGTTGAGAAGCACCTTTGGAAAATGCGCTCTTCAAAAGGACCGTTGACATACCAGAAGCTAACAGAAGTGCATAAGCAACATTCTTACTAGATTCTTACTGGGCTCCTTGCAGCGACTGTAATAATTGCACACGCAGGACACTACAACTTCTAGTTAAATTGAGTCCTAGGGGATGCATCTGCTCTTTGGGAGGTTTTTTTGTTTGTTTGTTTTTTAAGTGGAAAGAAATATTATCTATGTACGCAGCCAGTGAGAGGGAACAGAAAGAGAAGGAAATGGAGATTTGCGTCCCCCTTCTGTCTTAGGTTTCAAACACAGACGTCTCTGAACCAGCTCTACCACATGGGACAACTGTGAACAGCAGCCCGGTGTCCAAGACGACTGACTAGTTACACTTACAGACAAGCATAGCTGCTTTATTTATATATTTTTAATACATTTTCTTTTAGTGACTCTCCATGATTTTAACCAGGTGAGACTTGGAATCTTTTATAGAGATAGAGTCTTGTTTTCAGAAGAACTTATAAAAACTCAATTCTACTATCACCAGTCAGCAAGCTACAGCCCATGGGCCAAATCCAGCCCAATGAATATCTGTGTAAATAAAGTTTTATTGGCACACCAGCCATAACCATTCACGTACGTATTATCTATGGGTGCTCACACGTTCCGATGGCAGAGCAGAACAGCTGTGACAGCAACCGTGGGGCCCAAGGTACTTACTATCTTACTAAAGCCTCTTACAGGAAAGGTAGTTGGCCTCTGACTTAAGATATAATGAATAAAATGTCAGCATCCACAGACATGTACTTGGATGAAAAATATTAGCTCCAGAAATATTAGAAGTTTTAGACTTCTTGAATTATAGTATCTTCTCTGGAATTGTACACATGACTCAACTGTGACTGTAGGGCTGGGAAGGGAGGGTGCTGAACCCGGGTGACTGGGCAGAGGTAACGCCCGTGTTCATTTTTTAAGTGGATCTTAAGTCTGTCAGACAGAAGTTGTCAAATTCATCTACATTCAGATTTGATTTTGGTGAATGGTATTCCTGGCTTTTAAATCAATTTCCTGACACTACATCCTTTACTGTAACTTCAGGCACAGTCTGACTTCTGCTCCTTGGGCCTACCTACAAATCAGCATCCTATTCTAAAATCTCAAGGACACCGACAGGGTCTACTAAATACCCCTCTGTTATCATTTCTTTAAAATACAAATTCTGTTGGAACATCCAATCTTCACTGCAACACAGATATACGGATTTAAGACACTTCACACCGCGTTGTCTTTATTCAGCGTTGCCGTTAAATTCTGGAAGTCAGGTTTGCTCGCTGTGTTCTAACGAGTGTCCTGCATTGCTTCTGGAAAAGCAGCTTCGTGCGCTGACTTACCTCAGGGCACCAGGGAAAGGGAGATTTAGAAATGAAACTATAGGAACAGGGTAACCGGGAAATAGTAACTCTAAATAAGAAATGGATTCATTTAAAAAAAAAAAAAACATAAAAAAAAGGAAAAAAAAAGCAGCATCACCTGGTGAGCTTTCTTGCTTTAGAAATTTGGATGTGGCAGTAGTTGAGTGAATTTCACTGTGGCCAATTATGTGAATCACAAAGAACCACCTGCTGGATGTTTTCTTTTGGTGCAGCCTTGTTTCAACACCGACTTCTAAGCATGCCCTGCGGGGTTTCAGGAGGGCCTCCCTTTCTCTCACTCATGCATTTGTTCATCTGCTGTATGTGACTATCGCCATGTTGTATAATGTAGCAGTGTTAGTAATTAGGGTTAGTTTTCATTTTATCTTATTTCATTCAAAATGGATGTGAAACTTACTGGCATACCTAGGCTGCAGCCCCATGCAAGCAAGCAAAAAGCAAAATATTGAAAATGGAAGATAAAGGTAAACACTGGCTAGCAGGCAGCTAAACTCACCCTTTTGTACAGCCTATGGTCCACCAGGGGGCTTTAGACAGTAAAACAATACCAAAGAGCTATTAGCATGTGAGGGTCACAACAGAAACCTTATACATAGCTTTATTTCAACAACAACAGAAAAAGAGTATAAAGTGCTTCCTTTTTTGGAAAGAACGGAGAGTGGTGATGGGGTATGTGAAATGAGCAGGTAGGATTCACCGATTTACCGTGAAGTCTAAAACTGTGGGGGTTGTATGACTTAGCAAATTCCTTAAGAAATGGGACACCTCTTATTGATTCCTGAAGCCATTATCTACCTACCTTTCCTGAGAAGGTGTATATGAGGTTTTCTATTTTCATGCTTCTCAGGGCCAGGACACATGACAGTTTCTCTTAAAATAATATTCAGTACCCCAGAATGGAGCCAGGGCTACATTCATTGTAGGGAAAAGAGGAGCTCAGACTTTAGGTTCTATTGATCTTGAGGATCCAGGGATGGGAAGAGACTTATGGATCTGCCACAGTGGGCATAGAGAGGTCAATAAAATTTGCCTGCACACTCCTCCTAACCTCTGAACTGTTCCAGGGCAAGTAAGGAAAAGAGCCAGTCGGGGGTCTTTATTTCATTCCAAACAATGAACAGGAATTCAGAGTTCATAATCTGATGTCCTCCTCATAACAAGCCTTCTTGCCACCCTCAAGAGCTTGCTACTCGTTCAAATATGAACCTGAGAAAGGTAATCACGAGCTTCTTCTCCACTGGTTTACAGAAAGAGAACTTTGAAAACAAGAGTGGCCCAGTCTCTTGGCCAAGACTCCTTGGCCCAGTGTACTGTGGATGGGGGGCGCAGGGGGCAGCCTTTTATGCACGTATGTTTTGTTTAAGTAGCTAACCCGCTCACTTCACCCAGTGTAAACACAAGGCACAGCTTTGGATGAGAAAGAGAAGAAAAGGAGCGTGGGACTTTATGTCCGTTTGCTCATAACGGCCAAGGCTGCACTACCTACACATGTTTGCAGAGCCTGGGGAGAAGACCGGCAGAAACAACAAGGAAAATGCGACCTGTGGACATTCAGGTTTGTTCAGAGTGGCCTAAAAAAGAGCAACGTACAGCTAATTTTCTTGAAGATAAAATCAGCCGGGAAAGCACTACACGCAGTCTCAGCAGGGCTGGGTCGAGCCTTCCTGTGTTTTTCATTTTGCAGGTCGGAGAGGAACAAGGAAGGAGGGAGTGGGAGCACACGTGAGAGCCTCCAGAGAAGGGTCTAGGGCAGTCCCAGAGTTTTCACCGAATGGAGAGAATCAACTTCCTTATTTGGTTGCAAGACTGTCCTGCTGGCAGAGGTGGGACAGAGTGGGAGCGAAGAGAGATGGGCCCTTGGGAAGGCTAGAACTGATGTGATTATGTCACAAGTGCCTCATATTTTCACTGGATTTCCTAACAAGACTTCCTAGCTCAGTGTCGGTCCTGAAACCTCGCTGGCCGGCTAATTACAGGGAATGACCTGTCGCTGCGTGGTAGAGAGCAGGTGGGCTGCTGAGGCCCAGGGAGTGACATTAGCTTCTTCCAAACAGCATTCTAGTTAGAGAATATCAGATATATCCTAAAGAATGTTCTTTTTGTTTGTATCACTGTTCATGTGTGGCTCTGTGCCCCTTTTCTTAACATCATAGAAAAGAATTCTTTTGCTAACAGAAGTCAAAGTACAAATGGCCAGCCAACGCCTATTAAGTCTCAAAGCCCAAAGAGTTAACAAGTTAGCAAGCAGACGGGTTTAGGAGCGAGAAAAACTGAAGTAAAAGGGAACGTCTGTTGGACCTGAATTGAATCTGGACCCTTGGGCTCGGGCTCTAGGTACAGTGAAACAGGAAGAGGAAAGGAGACATCAAAGAGCTCGCTCCAGAGCTGGGCTCTGGGAACCGCACAGGGAAGCAACGACTCCGCACAGGGTCATGAAACAGCTCGGAAGGCCGCGGGGACGGATGTCAGACCCGAGTGCTAACCTACTCAGGAAAACCAAACGATCTCACCAGCTCCCCCCAAATCTAAGGGAAGAGCCTAGTGTTCACAAAGGAAGCTCGAATTTGAGGAAACAAAGAGAAACCCTTTCAGCTGGCTCCGTGGGACGCTGCCCCGTCTCCAGCGAAGGCCCCGGCCGGAAGCCGGTCTCCTCCTAACTGCAAATGCACGCGCGTCCGCGCAGACGGCTGCCCCTTCCCGCCGCGTCCAGCAGAGGGCACCCGCGCTCAGCAGGAGCCTGGCTGGGGTGCGCTTTTCTAATGCTTCCAGAAGGGAGCTGTGCTCCGGGGCTCCCGGGGAGGACTCAGGGCTGGGAGTGAGGAGCTGCTGCGTGTGGCATACGAATAAGGGGCTGAAGAGAAACGGGAATTAGAAGCTCGTCCCACTCAGCTGTCCTCACCCCCGGACTAAGAAAGTCACTGGCGGGAGTCTCCGCTACTTGCCACGCGGTCTGAGCCAGGCCCCCGTTCCTGAAGCAGCAACTCGGGCCCTAGTTAGGTCTGCTCTCCTACTGCGACTGGGACCTTCCCCCTGAGGAATGTCGGGGCCGCGCTGCGGCCGGTCATGCATGGTCGGGAGGGTTAGGGCTGGGCTCTGGCTCTCGATGAGCAAACTGTCTAGATGACGAGTAGGGTTACCTGTGGCGGCAGCGGCGGAGGAACCTCATTATTTTTCGAGCAGCTTGGTCCTGCTTTTTGGTTAGCAAACTGCTCCTGAAAAAGCCGGAACATGACTGTCAGGACGAGGTCCCGTGAAGCTTGACGCGCACACGCCAAACACAGGTGAGCAGAGACAGAGGCTCCTAATCAAACTGTTCACGGAGCAAACCCGACAGCATGGGCAGAGAAGGAAGGAGGGGGTGGGGCCCCCGCCCATGGCCGTGATGGGTACAGGGCCCACGTGCGACATACGGGGACCCCCAGCTGTCCTTTCCCAGCCCTTCCTGAGCTTGTTTGGCGGAAGAAGGCTTTCCAGCCTTAGACAGGCCTTCTCGGGGTCGAAGCTGACTTGCCCGAGTCTGATACTCTGCTGAACGTCTATGAGCGTGTCTCACTGCGTTCCGAGTCCCTGTCACGCTCTCAGATGGCCCAGCCGGCTCTAACTATCCTTCCGAGGGCTCGCGTACAATGACGCTACAATTCCGACTCCCCAGTGGAGCACCCGCTCTGAGCAGGAACTTGGGTCCCGCCAGATTCCCACCCCAGCTGAACTCGGTGGGAACACCAAAATGACCCAGGGTTGGGGGGTGCGGATTAGAGAGAAGGAACGAGAAGGAGCTGGGCACCGAGGGACCGACAGCACGGGCATCACCACAGGCAGGCACAGCACCTAGTCCCACTACAGGCGAGTCACCCCCGACGTTGGTACAGGGCCATTCTCCCCACGATGCCAAGGCTCTCTTGCCTAGACAGCTTCCCCCCAGCGAGAGGTCAACCCACCTGAGTTTCTGTTGCACGATGACGGCTGTTCTGCGAGCCTGCCGTCTCTTGCCACATTTCTTATAACTCCGGTAATACTTCTGGATCAGCACAGCAGCACGCCGGCTCTGCTGGAATTTTTTTTGTTCGTAGTAACTTCGGAATTTACTCTGGATTAGGATGGCAGCCTGTGTCATCTTTTTATAAAGTGCATACTGCAGGGAAACAAGAACGAGCACAACAGTAACAACAGGAGCCACACAAGTCTGTGTTCTCTGAGCGTGCCAGGGAAGGGGGGAGAGAAACATCTTTTTCTTTTTTCATTTTTTCCCCCCCTTGATCATCATAGTCTCTGTTTTGGGCTCACTCATCAAAGAGGAAAACTAGGCACACTGTCACCTACCTTCCCCAAATGCAAAATGTTAGTCTAAGGGTTGCCTCCAGACCGTGTACTGCTTTTAATGTGCTTTTCCCCCAAAATATCAAACATTTTTCCCTTCTTGAAAAAAAATTTTTTTAAACAGCAATACGCGTAGACATTCAGGAATAGTAAAAACGTATTTAGAAAGTACAACTTAAATGTTCAAGATTAATATTTACTCTCCAATTTTGAAGCATTTTAAAATAACCTTCCTTATGCGCCCCAATCGTCACCACACACACGCCCACTCAGAGCAGTCGGCAGCCGCTTCCTAACTACGGTTCCGTAGGACACGTTTCCGAGTTGCAAGGTCCCAAATACAAGGCTTATCATGAAACGCTGACACCTTTGAGACATTTAACCTGCAGAAAGATGAGCGCTCATCAGACTGACACGGGGTGAAGCCATGAAAGCGGGCCAAGTGTCGCAGGCCTGGGGCCAGCTCGGGACCTGGCGCCAGCAGCTTTCTGGCTGGCCTGCGGCAGCACTGCTCAAGGGAGGGAGGACGGCGCGGGAGAAGGAGTTCTCTTCCACTTCCGTCTCTAGGCACTAACGAACACAGAGCCCTCCACATTTAAAGAAATGCCATGTCCGAACTACTACTGAAATGGAATAGGACTCCAGGGACAAGAAGTCACAAGGAAGCACCTGGCTTGCAAGAAGGCAACTTACCATCCCGGGGAAAACTATTCCTGAGAAAACGCCTGTGCCTAAGTGCATCTCTGCCTGGGGAAGCTGGAGTGAGGAGAGGGAGCGGACTCCCCGGAATGTTCAAGACACAAGACCCTCGCACAAGAATCCTCTTTAGTCTCGTCTGACCTGCTTTCCATTTTTACTTGCCCCCAAATCTTTGAAGACAGTGCAGTCTCCTACAGGGCTCCTGTGGTTCTCCTCCCCTTGGCCGGTGCATACCACACGCTCAGAAATTGCACACTCAGAAATTACCGGGCCAGGCCCAGCAGGAGGGAGGGAGCTGCACTAAGTAGCTGGCTGGGCTCAAGGGAATTGGCTTGGACGGATTCTTTAGACTGACATGGCCAAGAAAATGTCTGGTGACTGTTAATGCCAAAACCCACTCCAACAGAGTAACCGTGTGGGCCCCAGAGATGCACTGTGGTTAGGCACCCGGCGAGGGGAGGACGCCTGCTTCCTGACCCTGCCGTCTTAATGGCCCCTTCTCATAGCTGGTGATGGGTGTGAAGTTTGTGACTCTGGTGGAATGGTTTGTGAGGGGACTTGGGTGTCATTACCTTCAAGGCTATCCATGTCAGCTTGGGGAGAAACAGAAAATACAAGATTAATGTTAGATTGCTGAATAGAAGGAAATTAAAAACCAGAACCAATAAAACTCCCAACTGGAAAAAAAAAACCAAAAACCAAAAGGCAATCTGGCTACATTAATGCCTTCCATCTTCCAAAATACTTGTCTTATACTTGTCAGTATTTCAAAAAATCATGCCTTCTGTTTTCCTGGTTGGAGACAACACTTCTTTGGGACGGGATTTTCAAAACCAAAACCAAAACCAAGACTCGTGCTTTGGAATAAACACCTGTTGTGACCACAGACTGGGAGCCTCGTGTGTCTCACTTGTGCTAACGGGAGGACGGAGCTAGGTACCGTGGTGCCAGCGTTTACACAATAAACCTTCATTTTCTGGGATCATGAACTCAATGGGTTAGAAGTCGAAGACTCCTCCCAGCCCACCCCCTTTCATTAGCAGGGCTTCAGCAGAGAGAAACTCAAGAACATGGCAACCGTGTGAGAAATCAAAGCGAGCCCTGCCTCGTAACAGGAGAACACAATACCACGCTTCCACAGGACCGCTACCCGTCTCAGCATGTTATTCCTTTAAGTAAAAAAGTTTAAAACCTACTTAGAGCACCATCTGCTAAAAGGTTCCAGAATCTACTAAAAGGCCTGAACTTTATCATACGGGCCGGTCAAAACTCAAGTAGACAAGTTTTCACATTTTCTAACCACCCAGGTGGTTTGGAAAATCTAATCTTGACTTCATTTCCGAGCCTCAGCTCTTCATGGTAAAGGGGACATAAACTCGTTTATTGCCAGTAATTGTAAGGAGCAGATGTGATGAGATGATGTGGCTGTAAGGTACAGTCCCTCCTCGGGGCCCCGTGTACTTTAGTTCCCTTTCCCGCGTGGTGGCAGATAGGTAGCCTCACAGGGTGTTCTGGAAACTGTCATACTGCGTGGAAGAACACTTAGTGTCCTTCCTGCATCTCTTAACTAAGGAATGCAAAGGCCGTATAAGATGTTCTGGGTTTCTTAAGATTTCCAGAGAGTTTTCCAAGTCTTCATTTGAAAACGGATGGGAAGAAGCTGAAAGGAGAATGGCTCGAGAATGGATCATTTCTATGGCTCAAGGTCACAGATGACCGCCATGATTTCTCTTCTCTGATCACCGCATCGGGCTCCCGGAAGTCCTCCAATTACTCCAGGTACAATGACTGGAACACAGAGCCTCATTTCAGACACAAGTAACTTTCTCTGTGTCAGACCAGCATCTCTGGTGGTCATGCTACCAAAAGGCCAACAGTCTGAACAGAAATTATTTTGTGACATCACTTTAACAGCAGATGGGATTTGGGTTCATTTTTGGCCCCCACTCTGGAACATTTCCTTCTGGTGTTTGGTTAATGCAATCCAAAGCCTGTCTTTGAATCAGGTATTGGACGTAGCACTCTCTGGCCACACCACACGCTAGAGTCCTGTTGCTGTTTGGACAAAGCGTACCTCCCATTGTGGCCCAAAGCTGTGGTTTACCTGTTTGTATTTTCTGTAACAACGCTGAATGACAGCGGCGGCTACTTCTTGCTGTTCCCGCAAGGGTCGGCCCTGAAGGGTAAAGTGAAAGAAAAATCCAATTCAGTGTAAGAATTAATGATTTGGTATAAGAAATGTCAACTTTCTTCAGACTTGAGTAGAATTACTACTCATCTATATAACCTTCTCTGAGGTCCCCACGTTTGCAAAAATACAGTAGTAATTAATTACAAGTAGAAATTAGGAAAAACGAACTTACAGAATAAATCGGATTCTTCCTTCTAAATAGAACTATGATATTTGGATGTTAGGAGATCTAAAAATGTTCATTTTGCAAGTATTTAACAAATCACATTTTGTGTTACTTGCCCTTATATGCTGCGAGATTTCCATCATCTCTCCTAACAACCCCAACTACTCTGACTTTGGGATTTGATGAGTACTGGCTTTTAACACCTTCTTGGGGTGGTCAAAGACTCCTCTGAGAACCTGTGGAAGGCCACAGACCCTCTCCCACCACAGATGCACACACAAGCTTTAGCACAAGATTTCAGGAGTTCATGGGCTGCCTACAGTCAGTCCCAGTCCCTTAAGAACCCCTGCTTTAGGTTATTCATTCCTTGTGGCAGAGGTACCAACTCCCTCTATACTAACTAAATACTAAATATCTGTCATCATTACCAAGAATAAGTTGACATGGTGTTAACTACACTCTACTGGTTAATTTCCCTAAAGCTTCTGAAAATTATTACTAAAATTTTATGTGGCAGGATAATTCCAAATAACAATTCTACAGACTCAGAAAAAAAAAAAGTGAGGGGCATAAGTTCTAGTTAGGATGATCCTGACTTCCATCTGTGGTCCCCCATCTTACCAATGTTGTGTCAGGACTCTGTTCTACTTTACCTTGTATTTCCGGAAAGCGGTCTGGACAAGCCTGGCGGCTTCATAGAGCTCTCTCTGCTCGTGATCAGAAAGAGTCAGCTGAGCAAATTCGTTCTCCACCTTCTCACTGGTAGACGCACTCAGGAATTCTGACCAGTCTGCTGCTGAGGGAAGGCTGGGTTTCTCAAAAGCTATTTCACTGACTGGGGAGCCAACAGGGCTCAAGCTGGTATTAGAAGAAGGGGTGAGAGGCTCGTTATATGCACTTCTGAAACAAGAGGAGATACAAGGGAGAGAGACCGGTTATTGATCAGCACAATCCCCATCACATACTGCTGAGTAAGGAGACAAGGGCCACTGCGCACTATTACGAACGTGCCTTCGTTCAGTCCTGTCAGCTGCTAAACATATTCCATACTTTAACTGTCCTTCAGGTCGCGAGTTCCTCCTAAGTGCCTATCACGAGTTTAGCGCTATGCTAAATACTAAAGCCACCGAAGATGCCGTCCGGCCCTCAGGAAGCTTCAGATGAATTGGGTGGGGGGGGGCATCATGGGACATGACCTCACAAGTGCTACAAGGAGAGAAAAGTCATGGAAGAGGCGAGGACGTGAGCAGGGATCTAAAAGTGGTGAAGGAACTTGCCCCAGCGTTTCCTTCCTTCCTTCATGAGGTCTCCTATTACATAGCATTCATCAGCTCTAATTAGCCTCCCACACCTCCCGCTGAGCCCGGGCATTTGCGCCACTCAGTGGCCCACGGACTTCCGCTGACCTGATCTGGGTAGCGCTTGGCAGACGGTCGACATCGGCTAGGTAACTGGCCAGCCAGCTCATGGTACTGCTGATGGTGGCAGTGTCTGGTCTTTCCAATGCCGAGGGCTCCGTGGGCACAAAACTCTCCTGTTTAATTCGGTCAGGTGTGGCTTCAATGATGTGCTCTGCCAAGGTCATCATGTTCACCTGGAATCCAGAGTTCACAGAACACTCAGGTTAAGAGGAAGCCTTAGGAGTTAGCCAGCCCCTCCCCCCACCCCACCTACCCTGGGGAAGAAAAACGAAGGGAGGGCGGCCTTCCACCTCAATCCAGTGCAGCCCAGTATCACTGTAAGGTTTTATACAATTCAGCCAAATACACTGAGACCTGATTCTCTCCTAATTGTGGTCCGGCCAAATACCTTTATACACAAGTCTTAGAGAACTTCTGCCTTGTGCCTACTCTCTGCTCTCAGCTCGGATCAGCCATTTAATGATACTGTGACTGCGCAGTATTTCAGCAAGTTGTCACGTTACCATGGTGACGCTACAGGGTACCTAAAGGAGGGCCACTGTCCCCGCCACCTTGGCCTTGCCTAGAGACCCCCGGTCCTGTAGAGGGCAGCAATGAGCCCAACGGAGAGGCCGGCTCCCAGATGGTGCCAACCAGTCAGATAATCCTCTGCTGGACCCCCCACCCTCCTGCGCACAGAGGGGAGGATACGTGACCCGCTTCTGGACAAAGAGACTCTACAGACATCTGCTACGGGGTCTGGGGAGAAGCTTTTTAAAAAATTTGTTTTAAAAGATTTTATTTATTTGTCAGAGAGAGCGAGAACAAACAAGCCAGGGGAGCGGCGGGGAGTCTGATGCGGGGCTGGATCCCCGGAGCCTGAGATCATGACCTGAGCCGAGGGTGGACTCCCAACCCACTGAGCCACCAGGCATCCCTGGACAGCTTTGGCTTTGCTGCCGAACAGTATCGATGCCCTTGGCTCGTCCCCTCTTCTTCCTGCCTTGGCTCCCAACAAGCGCCAGCCCCCGCACTGCGACCGCACAGCAACAAGAATCAAGAGGAGTTGTCGCCAGAAAGAACTAAAAGCTCAGGGAAAAGTCTGGGCCCTGTTGGCATCACTGAGCCAATGAACCGCTGCACCTGCTGTCATGGGAGAAAAATGAATCGTTTGTTACTAACGCACGGCAGTGAGGCCGCTCACACCTGCAGCCCCAAACACATGCCCAGCAGAGAAGCGGACTCAGAGCTGCTCGGCACCGCCGCGGACTTCAGCAGACTTGGAGATATGGCCTCGGTTTTCTAAAGATTCCTTGCATGTCTCTCTTGACAAGAGAAATGGAAATAACAGCCGTTTAAGTTTCTAAGTGAAAGTCTCCTGAAAGGATCCATACAAAGATGACAAAATGCTTATCTTACAATGTGCATGAACCTCCAAAACCCTACGCTAAGTGCAAGGAGCCAGACACAGAAGCCTGCAAATTTTAGGATGCCATTGATATGAAATTTCCAGAAAAAGCAGAACTCTGGGGATAGAAATCAGATTGGCAGCTGCCTAGGGCTGGGGCGGGAGCAGAGACGACTACAAATGAGGGTGGGAAACTTTGGGGGGCTGATGGCAGAGCTCTAAGGGGTACACTAACATTACACGGAGCACTTGCAGGGGGTGAGCCTTATGGGACGTGAGGTATACCGCAGGAAGCTGCTAAACACTTATCCTGGGTAATTTTCTATATTTTCAACAAACAAGAATGGTTCTTGTAATAGGAATAAAAATGAAAAAAATGTTGCAGCCTTTCTTTTCCCTCCATATAAGTGTCTTGCTTTGTGACTCAAGCAGCAGGAAGTCCTAGCCTGATACCTTTTCCATGAAAGTATCCAAATGTTTAATTAAAAGCAAAGTGGTATTTCTGGAGACTGAAGACTATGACTCTACAGTTGCCCCCCCCCAAGTCCTCCATTTTTACAACATGTGTCAGTGTGAGAACACTTCAGGATCACGACACGTGCCACACGCTGGGCTACCACACACACGCTTTTTACTGTGCCGGCTGCAAAAGGCAAGGAAATTTAAATGACTTTAAACAAAATAATAACATTCTAAGCAGTAGGACCTGAAAAGTCACATCATCTGCTTCTAAATTTCTCGTGCTGTGGTGAGAGAAGACAGTCTATAAATGTGCAGCTTTAGGTTTTTGTTTAAATTCTTGTTGTGTTCTAACATATGAGCAATTTTCACGGATCTATCTAGGACACAGAAAAAGAATCATCTGTATACTTACTATGTGTATGAATCACATCCACCTGCATAATTACATACAAGCATATCCTGCATTAAATCCATCACAGATATTAAATATGTCTATGAAAGCCAGCTTTCTAATAGCCTTGTTCCAGGTTCTCATCTCCTTTCCATACCTCCTCGCTCAGACAGATGCTGAGGTAAATGTCTCACACTACGACTGAGTGTGATTCCACACTGCTTTGTACTCACTGGCTTTTGCTGTGGTATTCAGAGGCTGTGTTAGTTACACAACTGCGGATGGGTTGCATCTTCTCAACAAATGCTACGTCCATACTATTTGCCTTGAATTGTACTTGGAATCTTTTTTCTTTTTATACTGACTTGTCTGTTCTATCTTTGCCCATGGCTTCCTTTTCACTCTTTCTGTGTCATCTCATTTTAGTTCTGTTTTTTATAAGCAGCATAGAGTATGTTTTGCCTTCTTCTTTTTCTTCTTCTTCTTTTTTTTTTACCCAATCTGAGAATCTTTTAATAGAATTGCCAGATAGCAAAGTGGGAATGAATCATGCTTGAAAATATTCCTATAATATTACGTTTTCTGCTTATTATTCCTATTGCTTCATTTTTACTTTTTTCCATTCCTAAACTTTCCCCAAATGGGCCCCAATTCCCTTTACCCCTTCAGTGACTTAGAAATTCTATAGCCTGTTTTTATGCGATCTATTAATCTGACATACGAAGCAAGCCTATTTCAGGCTACACTTATCTATCAATAACATAAGTGGAACAAAATTTACAATCTTCCCCAAGTAAGAGAGCTGCTTTCATACCCTTCACCTTCTTCATTTCCCTACCTCCCTAGTTTTATTGAAATAATATTAGTTCTAAAATAGGATTCCTCCTCTGTTTCAAGCATCCCTTCTTCACAAGTGCTGTGTGTACAGTCACACTGTCACTAAGTCCTCAGATGTATCAGTTTTGCTGGTTTACTGTGCACTGCTCCGTGAACTCTGGCTTGAAGTACTTCATTATTTCCTTAATTCCTTGATTATTTTTCGTTGTCTTTTTTTTTTTTTTAATTTGGTGAATACTTCTTGAGACTATTGCTTTTTCATAGGTAGATGCTCTTAAGGTAGCAAAATGTTACTCTCTCTGGAGGCTCAGTGAAAATGTAAAGTAGAACTTTTCAGGTTATTTTGTATTTCCTGCATCAATCCCATTTTAGCCAAGGCCAGCTGCTACCAAGCTCTGCTATCCAATGGTTATTTAAACTTAAATTAATCGAACTTACATAAAATCAGAAATCCAGTTCCTGAGTCACACTGGCTACCTTTTTGGCTTTGGAGACCACCAGTGGCTACCATAATGGGCAGTACAGACAGAGAACATTTCCTTTGCTGCAGAGAGCTCCAGTGAACGGCAAGGATTTTCAGAGTCTGGTACTTATTATTTTGTTTACATTTATAAATATTGTCCTAGATTGCTTAGTATTGACATGCGGTATGGCCAAATCCAGCCGGCTACCTGTCTGCATAAAGAAAGATTTACTGACACATCGCAACACTCGCTCATTCGTTATTATCTAAGGCTGCCTTTGTGCTAGAAAGGCAGATTCAATCATCATGACAGTCTATATGGCCCACGAAGCCTAAAATATTTACTATTTGGCCCTTTCCAGAAACATGTTGCTAATCTCCTAACAAGTTCTTCGATTTCCCTGGCAGGCCTCCCCCAACCTGCAGTGATGGGCAGGTACGTAGTGAGGCCCTCACCCCACCTTCTTCCCTCTGTGCCAACAGCAGAGGCAGCAGGAAGGGGATCCTGGGACGAAGAGGAGCAGCTCCGCAATCGGCCTTCTCCCTGTGAACGCCGGCCAGGACAGGGGCTCTCCAGGCCCCTCCTTCCGGTGGCATTTCTCTAGACCTGTACCCTACTGAATTTCTCATGGGACATTTTCCCCTGCCACATTTGTTTGGGCTGTAGAGGGACGAGGACAGAGAGCGAGTCAAACTCATCCTCTTTGGCTGCTCTCTGGTCCTCCCCTGTGTAGTATATTTTATTTAATGGAATTTGTCAGCTTAATAGCTTAACCTCCAGTTTACTGCAGTCTATCCTCTCATAGTCTATTGCAAATTTAATGTCCCAACAGGATTCTGGAGCTCCTAGGTGTATGAGAAGGACAATTATCTGCTTCAGGGATATTTCCCTGCACCTCAAGAGCCCCATGCCACATATGCCTTAACGGTGGCCAGATGACAGCTGTGCTCATCGGATCACTTAGGTCATTCAAATTCTAGCCACAGGCCTCCTGTTCTAGCAGTGACTGGGCAGTGACTCTGTTAAACTCTCCGTTTCCCCGGACGTGGGAGGGAAGCAGGAGACCACCGGAGGGCCCCGAGTGAGCTCCAAGGAGCTGGTGTGAAGAGGGAAGTCTTTGCTGAGCCCCAGGTCACTGGTGTTCAGGCCCCATTCAAACAACATTTGAGTCGCTGAATGAAAACGTGGCCCACAAAGAAGATACTCCAACATTCTTCCGTGTAAGACCGCACCTCTAACCCTCTGCTGGTGAGCAAATCGCGCGGCCCGGGAAACGGGCTGTAAGGACGGAGGGAGCAAGGACGGACGGCCCGGTCTCTACGGGCTTACCTTGTCTGCGCTTACCTGTATCTCGTCCATGGGCTGTGAGCATTCCGCGCGCTCTGCGCTATCACGGTAGGGCCCCATCTCTGAATCCACCACCTCTCTGTTAGCCATCATCAGGACACTCGTGGGTCCCCGAGGACGCACCTGTGAAGGTGCTGCATCCTCTCCTACACTGGTCCCCTTCGGATTTCCAGTCACCTGTACTGTAGACACACCAATGTAAAGACCTTTGGAATTCCACTTTACTACAGGCTGAGATCCAGAGGCTTGGAATCCTGCAGTCTCTGGAGTGGGAGGGGAGGTTTCCCGGATGCAGTCCCTCACTCCTTCACTGGGGCTGATTGTCTCGGGGACACACTGCTTAGAACTAGGGCTCTGCTTCCTGATATTTGGCTGTTCCAGACTCAGTGCAGTGGACAGCAGCTTCTCCTGCCTTGCCTGGAAGTACTCAGGGTTCAATTTATGCTTTTTGGGAGCTGGATAATCTTTGTGGCTCTCACTGCTGTAGTAATTAGAGGGTTCAGAACGAGGTCTTCTCAGCTCTGAAAAGTACAGTAGAAAGGATAGTCAGGACAGGCGATAAAATTAGGAATCTTAAAGAATTAACACTTTCTCTATGCCTGAGAGACACAAAGTGCAAAGCCGGAACTCAAGACATGTCCCTAACACTTAAATATTCCCCCAGAAGAATATACTAGATTCAAATAGTCCTCCTCTAAAATTTGTATTTCTTTCTTGAACGGACACAGATTTTTTTTTTTTTTTTTTTTTTGCTACTTTCTGCATTTATTTTTGGGAAGGGAAGGGGGAGCAGTAGGCACTCTTAGAGCTAAAAGAAAAACTGAAAACAGAAAAAACAAAAACAGAAAACCAAAAACCAAACCCTTAAATGTACGTGAATATCCTACAGATTTTCTGAGGGTAGCTGCATGAAAGCGAAGGGGAAATCTGTCAAGGTCTGAGACGTAATAATTTTGAATGTTTACCTGGATTGGTACTTGCAATAACGGTGACTCCTTTGGGTATTTCCGGAGAGCTGATGGCTTCGCTGTGCCACTGGGTCATCCAGCTCTCCGTGCTGGGCTCCTCGCTTGGAGGACAGTGCATTCGGGGGTTCTGCCCCAGCTGTGCCTGTTCATCTCTCTGCAGGTGCTCCAGACACTCGGCTAATTTCACATGACCCCTTGACCTGGCAATCCCCAAAGGCAGCCTTCCTAGAGAGTCAGGGATAGAGATGGCCCGACGGTCCCACTTGTACAGAACGACGGCAGCTTCTAAGTGCCCTAGAGCACATGCCCACATCTAAAAAAAGAGCGAAGCAGAAAGCAAGTTTTCTCAGTACAAGTTAAAAAACATATTCTGTTTTCGCTATCGCTACCAAGTGACAAACCGGTCCTTGCTGGCAATCTCAGCTGGGCCGTAAAATTGTCACCATATCCCTAGGCTGGTTAAAAAGAGTTCAGGAACAAATGAACCTATTCCTTACCAGAGGGGTACAGGAGAAGTGGTCCACATTCAAGGGGTCAACTTCCAGTTCCAAATCAATGCTATCTGCATGCTTTGTGCTGTAAAGGATAGCGCCAGAAATTACTGCACAATTAATCATGTTCAAGAAAGACACCAGAACCTTATAAAACCCACAAAGATGAAACCATAGTGGGCACTTAGCATCCCTGATGTGAGGAAACAGAGCCCCTAATTTCACAGCATGGTTTGGACCAGCAGTCTGGAGGAAACAGAAGTGCAAGCTCGAGTTAATACCGCGGGCCCACATTCCTTGGGCGGAGCTTCCTAAAATTCCCTGGGGAACTGTCCCCAGAGAAAGCCCTCTGCTCCGGGGCCATGGTCATGCTCGCTGACTGGCAGGGAAAACACTAAGGAGGACGCAGCAAGGGGACGGGCAGGGACTGGCAGGGACGAGCCCCAGCTGCACACGGCCCAGCCCTACCGCCATTTGATGAGGGTCTGGATGAGGGTGGCGTAGCCCTGCGCGGCAGCCAGGTGCAAGAGGGTCATCCCACGGAAGGTCTTCGAATGGATCAAGTGCTTGGACTTGGCCCAGCAGGCTCGGCTCATCATCTTCTCACACACGACCACCACACGGTTCTCGAAGCAGCTCCCCAGTGTCCCGGGCCCAGAAGCGCACTAGGAGGAGGAAGTTCGCGTTAACGACTAAAGGGCCTCTCCTGGCCACATCAGCCTCTTCATGTAGGAGAAACAAATGCTTTACGACCAGCCGCCCACACTGGGAAGCAGCAAAGGGCACATAAAGAGGCACCGTGGAACGGAGACTAGCATGTGCTCGGTTCAGCTCAGTAGCACATGGCCACGCTCATGGCATAGGGTAATTTTCCATCACTCTGAGAACACCAGAGTCTGTCTACCACAGCTGACACTCTGATCATGAACATCATGTTGCTCCATCTCGGGGAAAGTGTATCTGACAGAAAAAAAAAAGAAAAGGTGCCACCAGCCTCCAGTTGAAGTTCATGATGTAGACCGTGGACTAGTAGGAAAGCAAGGCAGGGTAGCCGTCCCGGTTCTTGCCTCTGGGGATACACCTGGACCTCTGCCTCCCTGGCTCCTCCTTAAGGAGAACTAAGTCACTCAGAAGGGGATTTTTTTCCCCCAAAGAAACATTTTTAAAAATCCATTAATGATCCCACCCTTTGGGGAAAGCATTAGAGATCCTGAAATTTAAGGGTTATTAATAACAATAGAGGCACACAGGAAAGAGAAATTCATGAATTTCAACTGTGGCTTTCTTCTCTTGATTCAGTTGTAAAGCAAGAAAAATAAAATCAAACTCAGTCCCCTCAACAGTTTGTCTGAGTCTCTGTGATGGCAGCTCTCTGCTGAACCTTCCCCCCCATAAAGATGATACTTCCAGCCTGATTCTCACCTCTGGATTTATTTTAAAAGTGTCCCCCCTCAACCCCAGTAAGAAAGCCTACAAAATTCAATTACTACAGAAATATTGTTGCTTCTCATTGTTTTGTTGTTGTTGTTGTTGTTTTACTTTTAGGTTGGGGGGGAAACGCCTACAAAAATGAAAAGGCAGATAATAGATATACTGTCATCCTCGCTTGGGCTGTCAAAATATCTTAAAAGAGCTCAGGTGGGTGAGCCTGACCCGCAGTACAATGATCTTGCCTCAAAAGGCCCAGGCAGAGCCACCCCACACATACCAGACACCTTTATAAGCACAGGGAAGTTACGGGTCAGTGAGCAAGGAGGAAATTTTTTTTTCTTTTGCATTAACAAAAACAGCCGCATCTTTATCATGAAAGGTGGACACAGGTATGTTATTGAAGCCAACCTAGACTGACGGAAGGGTCTTTCAGAGCAGTTAATATGGGCGCAGGTCTACTAGGCCATTTACTGAAGGGTAAGTTGCTAAGAAGACATTACCACGCAACCGTCGTTGGTGAAAGGAAAAGGTTTTCATGGGAAGCTCTTATCTGAGTCACGAGATATGCCAAAGAATGATTATTTCTTTCTTAAAATTTAGGAGTACAGGTGAAAAAGAAGCCTACAGTAGCCTTGATGATACTTTACTGTGTGCCAAGTCCTTCCTTTTCATTTCTGAAGGGGGGCGAGAGAGAAGAAAACTCAAGGAAAAAGTGATTAGTTTCTTGGGTGTGGCCTATTAGATTAAAATTAGAATTAAATTTTAAATCTAAATTTAAAATTTAGAGGAAAACATTATTCATCTTGAAGAAAAAAAGGATGGTGATCTGAAGTTTGCAGGGAATAACTCAGTAGTAGAGATAGGAACACTCTCTATTCCCTTAAATTTGTCTCCAGGGTCTCCTGAAAAATAATTTCTGCCCAGAAATTTCTCAAATGAATGAGATCCTAAAATGAAGATCCTAAATGCAGTTTATTTTCTCAAAATGAAGATCCTCAATGAAATTTCTATAAGCCTTCTTAAGGCTTCTAAGACTAATGAGGCTCTAAAAAAATATCTAGTAATTTCCCTATATTTGGCAAATTCTTCTTGGAAGCTATGAAAAAGCATATGTGAAACGGGATAGAATGGATAATGCTGTTCCACCAAATAATTACAGAGACAGTTTCTCTGGATCCTCATGTTGGTCTCTTGAGTTTATAGAAGGTTTCTGAATTACTGAATTCAATTATGTTTCGTATTTATACTTAACATAAATACGGAATAGAGAATAGATTCCGACTGAACTCTGGGTCACCACCAGGCCTATTTCTTCCCTGGATCCCTCAACTCCCACTGCCTGGCGGCAGCGGTGAATTCTGAAATCAACAGCAGTGATTTAAGGCTCCAGGAGGTCAATACCTGGGAAGGTCCACAGTTCGAGGCTTCTTTGCTATTACACAGATCTTAATACTTCGGGGCACAGGATTATGAAGCACTCTCTGGGATGAGCCCAGGAATGATACCAGTACCAGACAGAGGACTTGCCACCCACTGCTTCCCTGATCAGTAAGACACACACGAGATGAGAGGTGACGGTCAACGCAGGCTGGTACCTGAGCTTGGCTTCCTCCGTTCCCCGTCCCGTTGCCCCCTCCACTGCTGCCTCCTCCGCTCCCCTGCTTGTGCTGCTGGGACCCCGTCATCTCAGCCATCCTCCTTTCCATCTGCTCCAGGCGCTCTAGGATGGACATCCTGAACTGGTTATCTAGGGCAGAACAGAGAGGAGTGAGGTTGTGCTCCTGAAGACGAGCAGTCGACGTGGGGCCTAGGCAAGCCTGCAGGACTGCCGTCAGCCAAACGCGGCCACAGAGGTCTGCCCCGGCCAGACTTCGACACCGGACTCAGCCCGACACCTCCCACAAGACTTGCGGCGTCTACAGCAGCTCAGAGTTCTCTGCTAAAAGAATAGAAAATCCCTTTCTGTTAAAGTCCTTGTTTCACGTCCCTGCTACCCCATTTCCTTGCCAAATTCCCAGTGGGAGCCTTGGAGAGATCTGATAGGTAAGCCCCAGAACAAATAAATGAAATGAGTACAGTTTAATTTAAATCAGTGGAAGAAAGGAGGATGTGTGTGTGTCAGTATGTATAAACAGTGTGTCTAAATAAATTATATATACACTTTTTTTTAAGAGTATTATCTGTTTAACCCAAACACAGGAAAGAAAGATTTTGTTGGTCATTCACTGGCTGAGACCCTCACACATTTCCTTTAACACGTGACAGTCTTTTAAGACCGATACAACCAAGTGTTCTACCTTTATATAGGGAAAACACCAGGCCATTCCCCCTGCGCCTAGGACTGTAACTCGAAGAAGTCTGCGCTTCTGTACCACACTGCTAAGATTAGACTCTCTCTCTCCACATTCATACATTTACACCCACATACATGTGCACACACACACATGCATATCACGATTTGGGCTGCATGCATACATAAGAAAATGAGCTAAGACCATTATTAAAGTCATTAGCACCTCTATTTATTCAACAAATTCTAAATAATGCTGTGTCAGGTATTTAGTAGTAAACCCATCAGAAAAGTCCTCCTCCCGCTCCAGTAGGGGACACAAGCAGGATAACAGGACGAGGAACAACAAGGTGGGGCTAGAACTCAGATAAGTCAACAAAGGCCACACTTGAGTTTGACCACAACCAAAAGGAGCCAGGTCTGCAAGACCTGTGTGAGTTACTAGCAGATGCAAAGGCCCTGAGGCAGGGTATTCAAGAAGCAGAAGGCAGGGGTGTCAGACCACAGCAGAGAAGAGCAGGGGGTAGACCTGGAGAGGGGCCCCTGACCAGACAGTACACAGTTAAGAACCCTGGCTGTGCCACAGAAGAGTCATGTAGCTTTGAACAAAACCTTTAGTGCCTCAGTTTCCTCAACTCTTCATTGGGGATAGTAACTATACTTACATCAGGGCTGTTGTGAGGACTGAGGATGTGCAAATGCGCAGAACACGTCAGTTCCATGTCGTCATCATCTTCTGACAAGGGAGTCAACTGTCTTGAGGAATTGACTAAGCAGCGGGGACAACCTATTTGGCCCCAAATGGTTCATGGCACAACTGTTTTCAAATACAACCACCTGAATCACGGAAAGGAAGGACTCAGGACAGGAGTATTTTATCAGCACACCTGGCCAGCCTGACTGTAAATCCCAACACTGGTGAGTAATTCTATAAGAAATAAACCAATGGGCAGGGCCAACACTTATGGAAAGTTTCCCGTGTGCCAGTCACCATTTTGATCGTTTTACAAATATTAACCCATGTACTTACTCTCCATAAGAATCGTGAGGTAGGTATCGTTCTCACCCTCTTTTCACAGAGGAGGAAACTGAGGCATAAGACAACTAATCTCTCTGGGGCTGAAGCATGGAGCTTAACTCCTACATGACACCAACAGGAAGGAGAGGTTGTGGGAAAAGACGCGCAGAATTAGTGTTACCCTAGGAAAGAGAACTTTTTCTTACAATAACATGACAGTAAATACCTGTTTCACGGGAAGATTTTTGAGACTGCTGTCCAATGGATTCCACTTTACTAAACCACAATGCCAGAGGAGGAAGACTGCTTTTTAAAGATCATGATATTATCTTCTAATAAAGCTATTTCCAGGAACAACACTGAAAGAAAAATCCTCCCCCTTTAAAAGTGAAAGAGAACGTCTCCGTGCCCATTGCACACATATACACGGATACGACAAACACCAAGGCCCCTTTGCTGAGCATCTCTGTGGCCAGTCACCTGCAGGAAGTACCGCGTCTGCGTGTGATGCACCGTGCATGGTCCTTGCCATCACGCGACCCTCCCGCCTTCAGGGCGTGGTACCAGAATCCTTATTCCATGCCTTCTCCCTTAGGAAAGCGACACTTTGCAGAATGCAGGACTCCTTTATGTGGAGCCAAATAAAGACTAAGAATCCTCCCTTTCAATTAGTGTGACTCCCAGTTGAATGGCAGGGTCGCCTCGTGGCCCTTGTCCCTGCTTCTTCCCATCATGCCATGCATCTACTCACAGACACTCACGCAGCCCACTGAGACGGGGGAGCTGCTCTAGCCGCCTACTGATGATTTCTTCTGCAGACCCCGAATCCGGCACCCACCAGACGAGTGTTCAGAACCCATTTCGCTGGTTTCGAGCACTTGTTTGGAGCACAGGGGCCGGAATTAACCTTCCGTGTCATGCACAGGGGCGGAAGGGCAGAGAGAGCAGTGTCCGGCTGTGCTCTGCCTCAGCGGGGTGCTGTGGGGCACCTGGCCCGCCACCTGGCCCGGGGAGATGGCTCTGTCCCGGCAGGTGCCCTGTCGCAGTGAGGACGGCCTCTCGTGCCTGCCCGCAGACACCGCAGAGACAGACCCTCCCGGACATGGGAGGGCCCCGCCTATGGTGTCTCCAGATCAAAACACGAAGAGTTCCAGCCCCGTGACTGCCACCGAGGTCCTGGCTTCTGTTCTGGGCTGTTCAGCAAGGCCCCCACGGCAAACCGTGCACTTGGCTCTCCACATGATTAAGCTGCTCTGAGAAGCACTTTATGAAGACACTCAGAAGCAATTATTTGCCTCTTAACAAAATTATATCACGCATAATGGGATCTCTGAGCCTCTCAACTCCAAAGGGGGAAGGTAGTGATAATTAAAATAAGAAACAACCTCAAATGGGAATGACCGAGCGGGCATCCGGTAGCAATCGGGCCTGCTGTACCGTGTTGACGGAGAATCACCAGAGCCTTCTGATCCCACTTCGTCTCCTCTGAGCGCGGCCAGGCCCTGCTCTGTCCACAGAGCTGACTCAGAGGGACGAAGTGAGGGTCTTCACGTCTCTGTTCCTAGCCAGCCAAAAGCAACGACCGCAGGCTTGTTTTGGTTTTACAGTCTGACGATGGTGCGGAAACCATTGTAAAATACTTGGCACAGGCAGAGCCTCCATTGTATATTATGTATGGTCATGGGATAAAGGGAATATAATTACTGAGAAGCAAAAAAAAAAAATTTGCTGATGACAGAGTAAAAAAGCAGATTTCAGATTCATTTACTCATGCACAAATGTTTATCAAGCACCTACTATGTGTCAAGCACTGGGGATGACTTGGACACTAGTGAAGATGTCCTTGCCCCCATTAGCTGGCCAAAAAATAATTTCTGCAGCCTCAATAAACTGGATTTTTGAATTAATATGTAGGAGGGAGGGGAGAGAAGAGAGAAAACAAATAATGTGTAAACCTAGGGGGCTGATAAACTTGGCCTCAGCGCTCACCTGTGACATTTCAAACAAAGCCAACAGTGACTCAGCTCTGAGGGATTCCAAGCCCCGTGTCCTTAGGACAGTGTGAGTGAGCAACCGAACTACTCCCCCATGGGCACTGGACCACACAAAACTGTACCAGGAGGACCTGCTTCCATGAGCACCTTACACTCCTGATGCCCAAGCAAGGGAAGCCAGCTGTTCTAGCCCGAGCTCCCGCCTGGCCGTCCCCAGCTTTCCATTCCTGTCTAGAAGGAGTAGGGCTCTATCTCACCAAACAACAAGATGCTGCTTCCACAGAAAGGTTCTCCCACTCTTCCCCTTCCCCTCCTGGCTCTGAAGACAGGGCCCAGGTGAGGGCCAAGCACTGGTCCACTTCTCCTGGAGCAGAAGCTCCGGGCATGTGTGCGGACATCTCTCCTGTGGCTGAGTGTCCGTGGGCTCTAGCCACGGTGCTCGTCCCTCGCTGCCGACAGAGGCCGCCCTCACAGGAGGCTTCCCCTCCTCGGCGGCTCTCACATGTTAGGTGGCATCCGAATCACCAGACTGATGGGGTGGGCTCTAGTCCTAGGGTCAGTTGGTTTTCCCTAGGAGGTGTGGGTGAGGCCCAGAGGTTTGCACTTCTAGCAAGTTCTCAGATGATGCTGATGCTTCTGGTCTGGGGCCACATTCAGGAGCCACAGCTCTAAGACCCCACGTCCCTCCACCAGAATGAATCCTCTCTCCACCTGAGTGCTCGTGAAGGAATGGTCCAAGAATTCCCCACTCGAGCAGATGCGCGGGTTGCTGTCCAGCGTGGACGCACGAGATGCGACCTCAAGGAAACCATGTCAGCTCCGTCCACAGTGGCTCTGTCAACAACACCAGGTTGCATACTTTCTTCTCATGTACACAGCCAATTAAGATCGGACAAAACTTGAAAACTATTTAAAATCCGCCCCCCTGCACCGCTGTCTGTAACGAATCAGACGCTACTTCATTCACTCCCATCAAATCTCACCTCCGCATTGCTCACTTCTCTCAGCGGACCAGCTGGGGCTTTGTGTCTTGTCTTTGTGTCTTGCTTGTCTCTGCAGTGATCTATTCACCTGCATGGTTTCAGGGAACAAGGGCATTCGACCACCACACAGCAATTCCTTCCCACAACATTCAAGACCCCCACACACACGTGCCTGCGCCCCAGACGGAAAGTAAATAATCCTGATGGCTCTGCAGCAGCAGTCTGGCTAGCAATACAGTTGGCCTCTTCCTGAGCCCATTCTGTGTCCCCTTTTGAGCAGAAGTGGCATTTTTAGACTGGGCAGCTGTGATGGAGTGGAAGGAGCATGGGAGTAGAGACGACAGCTCTACATTTAATCCTGTTGCTTCATGATTTAAAAAAAATGACCACTTTGCACCTCAATTTTCTCATGTGTAAGGAGGGGATATCACTATCCTATTGTTTTAATGCGAAATTTTTTAA